GTATTTAAATCTTATTAGAGAAGAGAAGAATGGTGTGTTTTTATAGTTACCTTTTGTTATTATTAAAACTAGAGTATATCAAGAAGATAAAGTATTTAAAAAAAAGTAAGAAAAAGAAACTAAGTTTTAAATAAAAGCTAAAAAGAAAGCTAAAAAGAAATAAAAGGAGATTGAAACGAAAGAAAGAATATTATAAAGGAAGATTAATTATCAGATTATATATAATATAAAAGAAAAGATTAAAAAGACTTTAAAATCAATAAAATCTCTAATCAAAAAAAATAAAAAGTTCCCCAAAGCTTTTTCTACTATAAATCTAATATCAATAAAGATTATAAAGCTTTTTGATATTATAAAGACTAATAATTTGAAAGGGAAAAAGGAAGAGATCATATTGCAATCTAGTAGAGAGCGAACACTACAAGTTCTATCGAAATTCAAAATCTGAAGATTTTATTATATTTTTAGATAGTATTGTATTTTATTATTTATCAATTAAATTGCTAGCTCTTTATTTTATAAATTGGAATTGTTATTAATTTTTAAAGTTATTCAAAAAGGGTGATCGAGATCGTGCATATAGCAGGGACGTGCACGTAGTAGGGAAATCGGTTAGTGAAATTTCGCTAAATGATATGGGAAATGGAGATTTAGAGGAAGAATATCGTCCGGCATGGAGTTTCTTCGGTGCCGATGCTACTTCTGTTATCATTCGCAGAGGTAAATGGAGATTGGGGAGTTGAAGAAATGCGGGTTGGAGATAGTAGATGCGATGAGTTTGTTTTCCTGGATAGCGAGTATTGTGAATATTGTATAGTATCAAGTAACACTCCTGTTGAATAATGAGGGGTAGATAGTCTGATATCAGCCACGTTATCTTGGTGGTGTGACTTTTTCTTTGTTACCTCTCGGATCTTAGCGACAAGCTTATTATATATATAGAAGTCGCTGTGTAAACATATCTGCAGCTTTGAAAGGAATATTTTTATCGTCATGATACAGTAAATCCACTTAAATGGTACTTCGTATCTTACTCCGGCCTTATAGAATGAGATCACCTCCTATTCGCTATTATCGAGCTAGACTCATTAAGTGGTAGGTATGAGTTTGATGAGGCTAGATTTAGCAGTGAAAATCGAATGTTTATTACTGGAGCTCTGGAGATCAAACGATGATACGAAAGCGAAATACTTCGTTAGCATATTGTCTGATCTGGGAAAGTTGTTGCATATAAGTATAGGTATACGTGGAGGTAGAGGTAAGATGACAAAAAGAGCCGTGGCTTTGAGAATGTCTCTCCGACCATCCAGCCATAGCTAAACTTTGGATGCGGGAGTATATCAACCGTCTCGGATTTCAGACTACCGTTGTTAGTTCCAATCTACCGTGTCCGTCTTTCCTATATATTGGATGCCGGTATGTAAAGAAGAATATGATATAGATGTTAAAATTAGAAAGTGTTAGCATCAATCGTCCAACGGATTGATGCCGCGGTAAATTAACCTTACCCCCGCATCCCGCCATTTGGCACCATCTGGGGAAGATCTTCTCCACATAGATACTTAGTTCCGCGGCTATTAATAGTTAGACAGCAAAGCCTACCTAGCTTTTGAAGACCTCCTCCTTCATTATCATATCAATTTGCTTCGACATCTAATTGTTCATTTCATCGTTTCGTCAGAGTTTCAGGAGATTGTATACAGACATGAGTACCTTGAGTCTACCCAGAAAGCTCTGGGAGCATCCCAGTCCTAAAAGCACAGCTATGTATAAACTGATGCAGGAAATCAATCAAAAATACAATCTTCAGATCGATGTAATTTAAACCCCTCTCTCCTGTCTATGATATACTAATTGACAACTCCAGAACTTCTGGGATCTCTGGCGATATTCCACTACCTCCCGAGCTCAGTTCTGGGATCAAGCTTTCCAATTTCTCAGTCTAATCTATAGCGGCTCTTACACGACCGTTGTTGATGAGAATGCCCCTATAGATTCTATACCGCGTTGGTTCTCGGGTGTATATATGAATTTTGCTGAAAATATCTTGTATTCGCGAGTACCCGGTCATGCATCATCTCATAGAGGTACAATTGGGAAAGAAGATGATAAGATTGCTCTAACTGAGGTTCGAGAGGGAGGAACAGAAATACGTGATATTAGTTGGGGGGAGTTAAGGAAAGGAGTAGCGGAGTTAGCTAGTGCTATGAAGGAACATGGCGTTGGGACAGGTGATAGAGTGGTAGTGGTGGCTAGTAATTCTTTTGATACCCTGAAGGTTTTTCTGGCTGTAGCATCACTTGGGGGGTTGTTCAGTAGCAGTTCGACGGATATGGGTGTTCAAGGTGTTTTGCAACGAGCTTTACAGGTTGAACCAAAGGTATGTCTGCCATTTTTAACTATAACATGTGACGCGTGAAAAATTAACATGCGTAAAATAGTTTATTTTTATGGATGATTGGGCCGTCTACAATGGCAAGACAGTTGATCTTCGCGAAAAGATGGTCGCAATCGTGCATGGGATGAAAGATGTTAAAGGGTTCAAAGGAATGGTTTCTATGCCTAGATTTCAAACACCCTCGGATATCACCGAAATTCCTCGTACCCAAAGTCTATCTACTTACCTCTCAAAATCTACCTCTCACACTCTTACTTTTGCAAAAACAGCTTTCCACGATCCGTTCTTCATTGCGTATTCATCCGGTACCACTGGAACACCAAAATGCATCGTCCATTCCATTGGTGGTGCAGTTCTCAGCGCAGCCAAAGAAGGAATCCTTCATCTAGAAACCGGTCCCCATTGTACTGTTCTTCAATACACAACAACCGGGTGGATCATGTATTTTAGTTCCATCTCCAATCTACTCACCGGATGTCGCCTAGTTCTCTACGATGGAAGTCCCTTTCAACCCGATCTCACTACCTTTGTAAAACTCCTTGGCAAGTTGAAAGTTACGCACTTTGGGACATCTCCCAGGTGGATGGCAGAAATGCAGAAAAATGGGATTGTGCCAAAAGATGTGACGGATCTTTCGAGTTTGCACACGGTAACGAGCACGGGTATGGTGTTGTCGGATCAAATTTTTGAATGGTTCTATGATGTGGGATTTCCAAAAACGGTGCATTTGGCTAATATCTCTGGAGGGACGGATATTGTGAGTTGTCCCGTATTCTTGGTATATTTATTATGAGTTCGCTAATGATTCAAAAGGCAGGGTGTTTTGGTCAAGGGAATCCCCTCACTCCAGTTTATGTTGGAGGCACCCAAGGTCCTAGCTTAGGCACACCCATTGCGGTTTACGATGCTCTCATCGAAAGCGGCCAAGGCGTTCCAGTTGAGCACGGCACGCCCGGTGAGCTAGTAGCTCCCCACGCTTTCCCTAACATTCCCGCCTTCTTTTTCCGCGACCCCAGTGGTTCCTTGTACCATTCCTCCTACTTCTCAAAATATACCCATGTCTGGACTCATGGTGATTTCGTATCCATTCATCCCGTAACTCATAACTTACATTTCCATGGTCGAGCGGATGGTGTCTTGAATCCTAGTGGTGTTCGCTTTGGCAGCGCGGAGATCTATAGTATCATTGAGAAATATTTTGGAAAGGAAGTCCAAGAGAGTTTATGCGTGGGACAGAAAAGAGAAGGGGATGAAGACGAGAGGGTGATGTTATTTTTAGTAATGAGAGAGGGTGAGAAGTTTAGCGACAAGTTGAAAGAAAAGGTAAAAGAGGTAATCGGAAGAGAGTTAAGTAAACGACATGTTCCCAAGTGGATTTTCGAAGCCCCAGATATTCCTGTGAGTTCCTCTTCTCAAGCCTGGAAAAGATCTCGTACTCTATCTCGTATGCTTGAACTAATCTCCGGCTCACCTATCTAGACAACTGTAAATCTGAAGAAAGTCGAACTTCCCGTTAAGCAAATTGTTTCGGGGAAGATTATTAAACCTAGTGGTACGTTGCTGAATCCGGAGAGTTTGAAATTCTTCTATCGGTTTGCGAAGGTGGAAGAGCTCGTTAGAGGAGAGGGAGAGGGGAATAAAGGGGGCGAGGGAAAGAGAGAGAGTAAACTGTAGAGAGAGATGTTGGAAATTAGAAAGAATGAAGAAAGGATATTGGAGTATAGATTAGAAGATTAAGCAGTTCATCTAGATTTGATTTCATCTTTTAAGTATTACTTTAACATTTTTACCTTGCGAATGGTGGTTTTGGACTCCTGAGAAATGCGTACAGAATGTTAAAGCTCAAAGGAGGAGAAGCTTTTTTCCCTTTTAATTGATGGATGGAAGTAGAAATATGGAAATAAATATGGTGATGGCTACAAAAAGACATTTCTGCCATAACAAAACATCAAACTCCCAAACCTTGCAGCCCAAGCATCAAAACGTAAACCCACGAAAAGAGATACTATTGAATTTGGGACATGGTATTTTCGTATTTAACACCTCCTCTGACCAAATCTCCTCATAGGAGTTAAAATCTGCTAGAAGTTTATTTCTTTATTCATTTTTTAGAAAAATGAAGAAAAAATGGTATTGCCATCTCACCCGCAAGCACATCGTCGGAACCTCGAAACCACATCCATACCTCAAACACATCTACATTTCACACTATTAAATCACTTGAAAACCCCCAACAATTCAAAAAACAAACAAACACACTTTCTTCCCTGACTCTGACATCCGGTACCGTCAAAAGTAGAATCAAATAACATTACAACCTCATCCCTACCCGTCCCGACTTTTCCCGCTCCGTAATGGCGCAGAAATAACATTCGATGATATCAAGCGAGCTCCGAGGTATATCATCAAACTAAGCGATCATTGAGTTCTAGGCGTAGTATCCACAACAATAGTCAGCTCATCCTCCAACTCTTGCGGTTGAGAAGCTTGTATCTCATCTTGCTGAGCCGCCTTCGGCCGTTTTCTTTCACTCTCACTCGGATTTTCAATATCATGGACTCTTTTCGTCGATGTGCCCAATAGCTCATTCAGAAGTAAATGCTCAAAGCCCCCCTGAACGTCCTTTCAATGGGATACCTTTTCCCCTATTGCAAAACGGTTGGATTTGCGCATACATTTTTAGCAATCCTTCGTAATGTTCTAGATCAAATCCTATGAATTGGAGTACCGTCCAGCTCGTTCGAATAACACCCTTTTTGAATGCTGTGACTATTTTACTCAGTCCAATACTCGTGGTGGCCGCATCAGCACCAGTCTCTTTCTGAAACCATTCTATAAATCTATGGGTGTTAGATTCATCTTTCGACAAGCATTCTCTAATTTCAAGTCCGAAAAGATGTTCGGAACAATGATTCACATGTTGTTTGGTCACCGTGTAGTTTCCAATATACATCGCATGGCCTTGAACCGTATTAAGAAATGTCGGGTGTCCCTTTGTTGGTATAGACTCAATACCAAGAGAATTATCGTCGAGACCGTGAATAAGTAAAAGAGCACCATGTTGCCCCATGATTGGAAGTTGCCCGAAATACATACTAGATTGTGAATCACTATGTATTTTGAGAATCCGATTTCGATACATGTCGTGTGGTGGCCCAATCTCCATTGCGAGTTCCATGTTATTCCAAAATTCGGCACCACCGCCATAGAATTGCTTAAGAAATGTATGATTAAATAAGGACAATTTGGAAGGGAAAATCTTGCAACCGAGAGATTGAGGTAATAGCCCTATCTCGTATTCCACGTTGAAAGACTTGACGAATTTGGGAGCGAGAGTTGCTTGAACAGGAGGATGTTTGGGTCGATCAGGCGCTTTGATCCCAAGCTCTTTAGGCTTTGCTACAATTCTCTCGTGCAATTTCTGTTCTTTATCTTTACTTTGCAAGCTTGGTAACTCCTGCCCAACAATTGCAGTAGCACTCAAGACCTGCGACGTTCCCTTGTTTACCTGAGTGCTCTGGCCATCTTTTAGTCCTCGATTGTAGTCAATTTCACGGACTAATAGAATGTGTTGAAGGTGGGCTTGCTTGATACCCGTAAAGACATCTAGTTGACTGGATTCGGTGTCCTGGAGAGCCACTTTTTGGTCGACAGGTTGTCCTGCTGTTTGTACATTCATCGTTCCGAGTCCTTTCCCCGCGCATAATTGTGAAACATCCTCCTTAAACTCTTTTTTCTCATATTCAAGCTCAAGTCGCTGTGTGGTAATGTCCTTAAACATTGTGTTCAATATGCCTAAGTGCCAAATCATGGCTTCATGCTTAGCGTCGTATTTCTCTTTCCATATTTTTGCATTGGCCTCCGCTTCATATTTTTCTTTGGTCGTATTTTCAATGCGCTGACACAAGTCCTGGTTAGCCAAGAACAAATCCCTTTTACTTGAATTGCATTCGTCAAGCTCCCTGCGTAACACTTCTACCCTTGCTTGAAGAGCCGAATGTGCCGTCGCAACTTTTTCTTTCTCATCATTGGCTGTACGAAAGATGGTCCAATTATTTGCGAGTTCATCAGAGACTTTCGACATTTCTAAGTTTAGCGCAGTAATTTGGACAGTATGTTGCTCCTCAAGAATCTTTTTCGTCTCCAATATACGTCGACTAACTAGTTCTTCATACATATTTTTGGAAACATCGACAAGTTTCTTGCCAATACCTTGGGTGGTGTGGCTTTCTATTGGCATGGTATTCTCTATTGCGAGTGTTCTCTTGGAGACAGATAAATCTTGAGTTGTCCTGCTTATTCCGATATTGTTCTTACCTATCTCGAAATCTATCCTCAGGTTAAAAAGTCTCTATCCATCCAAAAATTAAAAATTTCATACCTCTGCAAGTACTATCAATTGGCTCCAATTTCAGCATCCCTTTCTCGATCAAGTTGTCGCATTCGAGCAAGCGTTTTTTTGACCAGAATCCTGATCCGATACTTCTGTCCACATCTTGTAAAGCCTTGAGAATGTTCGGGGTGGAAAGACAGCTTTCAAATGACCATCTCCATCCAGAAAGTTTAGGCCCTCGCAAGAAGAGTTCTTTTACATCATTTATGGTTAAGCGCTTTCTGGTGTTCAAATCTTCGTATAGTTAGCAGCAGCAGGATATAGAGGACACTCTATTCGGATATACCTGTCGTGCATGAGAGCTTAGAGAATATGGAACTTCGCAAGCATCGAAGCACCCACTCAGGATCGGGTAACAACTCGACACGCAGTTTGACACCATCCAATGCCATATGGCACTCAGAAATCTCTGAAGGAGTCCATTCCTCGATATTGGAGTTCGGAAACTGGCAACAAGAAAACTTCCATGTGAGAAAAGAAGGTGGGTTCCGGGGATCAAACTGGTCCGTTGATCGCAGTAGACGCTTACCACAAGCTCTCTCTATGTAATTGCAATTAGTGACTTTTAGAAATAGATAAGAAACAGTATCAACTGAGATAATATATAGTACGATTCTGGGGATCGCAGGCAAGCCTCTTACCTAAGGTGTGTAACAATCGATCGTGTATACCACGAAAGTTGTAATCAAATCGAGGGCCACAAAAACCAAAGCCGTTTTCGTAGTCCTGGTATTGAAGAGAATTAAGGCATTTCACTCTGACCGTTCTAGTGTTCTTCAGCCAACTCATATTAAGATTCTCGTACTTCAAGTTCTTTTCTAATCTTTCTAATGCGCTCGTTGGCCATCCATTCAGAGGCGGTAATACCAATGAGTGGTTGATTGGAATCCAGACCAACTCCCTCCCTGGATCAGCTGGATCTGAAAGTTCCCACAAACACCCACTCATATCCTCGCCATATCCATCATAGAATTCCTTGATGGCTTTCACTAAGAGTGTAATCTTTTAGATTGACGAGTCAACAAAGAGAGGGCTATGATAAACACTTACTTTTTAAAGTATGTAATTGCTCATGAACTTTGATTACCAATCTCCCGATTTGGAAACTCTTCATCTCCTCTTCTAACTGAACGTTTGGATGTAGCTGGGACATCGTGATTGCATCGAATAATGACGATGGTTGGAATAATCATCGCCTTTTGAGCACAATAGACACGTCTAACCACAAGAAAGATTGCAAATCTGGCACAAATAACAGCGTGAGGATGGACTTTTAAGTCACTGTATACACCCTAATGCTGTTTCCCGTGGAACCCTTGGCGAGATACCTGAATGGTTATATCAGATTTTCTTTTTCGACACTCGGTGAGAGTTTGGAAACCACCTCGTAAACTCCAATGTGCTTTTCAAAGGTAAAGACATTTGATTTGTCACCAAAGATATCCAACAAACAGTGCCTCAATCCGTTGAATCAATTCCCTCGGCAACTCCAACAGGTATCTGTGTCAGAAGACTGCGCGTCCCATACCGACAGTAGGTAACCTTGGAAAGCAAACACTCTGTCTTTCAAATTAGGCAAACGAGATTAAATTGCTGTGGCTACCCGAACGAATTGGAATGAGTCCATGAAAATTTTCAAGAATATGCAGCAGAATCATATTGGTATTGATTCCAGAACTCGGAAATCATGATCTGGATTCCACTGGATAGCAATGGCAACTTGCATTATGTATTTTGTGTTGATGCCATATATGCATGATAAATGCATCGTATCAAGAGCCGGGCTTGTGATGAATGCAATTCAATCATCAGATGAAGAAACAACCAACAAACAGATGTGGTTCCCGCTGTGTAAAGCAGCAGTTAGAAATATCACGTGAAAGACTAGTAAGGATAAACGCGGGGGATTTGCCAAGGGCTGACAGTTCGGGGTTCGGCAGAAATCATACCGGATTTCAAGAGTAGATATATCATGAGTGGAAGGAGTGAGAATTGTCAAGTCCAGAGAGTTCAAACCCAATTGACTTCAATACAATCGAGACAAAAATGTCGCAAGAAATCTACAATGTTTCCTCGAGCGATGTTCGAAAGGCCATCGACTCCTTGATTTTTCAAATGGTTCATATCAAGGATGAATCTGGGAAATTTCTATTGAAATTGGAAGATGGCAGAGTCATAGATACCAAAGGATGGCAAGGATGGGAGTGGACACATGGTATTGGACTTTATGGTCTTTGGAAAGATCACTGCCTCACCGGTTCTCAAGACTCCTTGGAGATTATCGAAAAGTGGTTTCAAAATCGCTTCGATGAAGGAGGAACTACCAAGAATATCAACACAGTAGCCGCGATGTTGACGCTAGCATACGTGTATGAAGAGAAGAAGGTCAATAAGTTCTTGCCGTGGTTGGAAAACTGGGCAGAATGGGCAATGTATGAGCTTCCACGAACAAAATATGGTGGGATGTCACACATGACATACAACTCGACCAACGCTCAAGAATTGTGGGATGATACCCTAATGATGACGGTTCTTCCATTAGCGAAGATTGGGAAAGTCTTAAATCGACCTCATTATGTGGAGGAAGCGAAGAGGCAGTTTCTCCTCCATATCAAATATCTATTTGACACCAAGACTGGGTTATTCTTTCATGGATGGACCTTTGCAGACGGAGGACATAACTTTGCAAAGGCATTATGGGCGAGAGGTAACTCTTGGTTAACAATTGTCATTCCAGAAATGTTGGAATTGCTCGATTTGCCAACCAATGATTCATTCCGTATTCATCTCATCGATACTCTGGAAGCGCAGTGTCAAGCATTGGTTCAATATCAAGAAGACGATGGTTTATGGCGTACCCTTCTGGATCAATCTGCAGATACAGGATCTTATATTGAAAGTTCTGCAACAGCTGGATTTGCATATGGTATATTGAAAGCATTAAGAATGCGATATATAGAAGGGGAGGAATATCAGAATTGTGCGATTAAAGCCATAAAAGCTGTGTTGGGGAAAGTTAATGATCAAGGAGAATTACTTGATGTCAGTTTTGGGACAGCGATGGGTCATACCTTACAGCATTACATTGATATTGATAGGACAAGTATGCCATACGGTCAGGCTATGGCGATAATGGCATTGGGAGAATTCTCGAGGGTTTTTATCTGATTACCATTAATTTATCTCATTCTCATCCATTGGGTATAAGTTATTGTAGAAATCTAGAAAATCATAGAGAAAATGGAAATGTGATCCGTGTCACCCTCTGGGTATAGATTAGCGTGTACGCGTATGAAACCTTAGCATGTGCTTACATTTTTATCCATGTATCGTCCATGTGATAAATACAACCACCAAGCCGAAACATTGAACATTGAACATTGAACATTGAACATTATACTTCCGAGGCAATTCTCATCCATCAACAGGGAGAGTCTAGCACATAGCAATCTTTGCTTTTACACATGCCTCTTAATGCATGACTGACATCCATCGGCTTCAGTACGCCCTGCAGAAAGCCTTGCAAAGGTTCCATTTGTCTAAAAGGAATACCTAGGTACGACCTTCTTCTGGAGCAATTCTGATTTGATCATGTGTCTTTATCAAATAGACTTGCTCGTCCGTCGTGGCGCGATTCGAGCTTGCGCGTAATACGGTATCATTGATTCAGAAAAGCTTATATTTTCTGAAACATGCAACGCTGGCTTTTGGCTAAGCTTTTTCGGCAGGTGTCATTGAGACAGATCAAAATTCGGAATTATTAGCCGTGGCATGAAGGCGCAGGAACAGAATGTGCGGTTTGAAAAGGCCCGAGATTTTCAACAAGGCTCTTTTACCCCCCTTTTACCCCGCAAATGAGAATCGCTATTTGAATGTTTCTTGGGTCGGAAAAACTATCATCCCATTTTATCCCATCTCACCTCATCTTATGATATCCACAATGCAGGTCCCGATATGCCCCCTAAACAAGTATGCTACCCCATACCTGGATAGGGTAGGTCTCTAGGAGTTGTATGGAGGCCTTGTTGATCCAATCATCTTGTTCGATCATGAGCTGACAGGCCTGGGATGGTACATACCTTGTACTACTATCACCAGATGGTGAATGTAACCTTCAAATTTGAGGTCGAGTGCCGTGTTCAGGAAGACCTGAAGATTAGAGTCAGATTGTTATTCCCCGATAGACTCCTTTTCCTAAATTTAACTGCTTGTTCACTGTCGATCTGTTCCTTTCATTTCCTCTACAAGGCAGGCATCAAACTATCAATAAGTTGTGAAGACAAAAAATATATGAACTTTCCAAATAATGAGACGTTACCGGACTGAAGTGTCATTTCATGAAGGCATGTGCCTTCTTTCTTCCGGTTTCTTCCATCAATCTCTTCTTGAACCCCACGATCTTCCCCACACTCATCTCCGGTAGCTGATTTTCCCTTGTCACTATGCTCAGGAGATCGAAAAATCATGTTTGCTACCGCTGCATGTGCCATGTATTGAATGGACCTTGTGCTGGTTGTTGCAGCCCTCGAAGTAACTATCCAGGAGCGAACCGAGTATTTTGGCATCAATTTTTTCTTCTATGCTTCCAGGCAATCAATCCGATGATGAAATATACCTGAGTGCTCATAGTACCAATTTTCTCCTATATAAAAGCTTCATCTGCTACTTTGCTAAATTCCATTCTTTTGTACAACCAACCACCACTCCTTTTGTATATACCATCTTTTGAATATGATTTCCTTCACTTCATTTTGGATCATCTTTGGTCTCATTTCCTCATGTCTCGGTCAAGCCTATTGGTATGAAACAATTGCCCATCAGGGAGTCGCTCCTTATAATCCCCAAGGGACTGCATATCAAGTGTTCAGAAATGTGAAGGACTTTGGAGCCACAGGTATATACTCGTAGCATCTTTAGATGTCAAATTACTGACCAATCACCAAGGCAACGGTGTAACCGATGATACAGCTGCGATTAATGCAGCAATTGCGTATGGATCTCGCTGTGTCGAAGGAGTTCCAGGAGTTGGATGTGCATCTGCCACTAACTCGCCAGCCGTGGTGTACTTTCCTGCTGGAACTTACTTGATCTCATCTCCAATTCTTCCCTAATATATGACTCAATTGATTGGAAATCCAAATGCTTTACCAACAATCAAAGCCACTGCTGGTTTTGTAGGTCTAGCACTTATTGATGCCGACCCTTATGGATCATCTGTACCAGATTATGGAACTACGAATGTATTTTATCGTCAAGTACGAAATTTTATCATTGACACTACAAATATGCCCGCTACTTCGTTGGCACGAGGTATTCACTGGCCAACATCTCAAGCAACCAGTCTCCAAAATATGGTTTTCAATCTCAATAAAGCGAGTGGTACTTTACATCAAGGAGTTTTCATAGAAAATGGTAGGTGCCTATTTTCGTTTCCAAGATACATATCACTAACAGAATACTATAGGCTCTGGTGGTTATTTGAATGATCTCATCTTCAATGGTGGTCAATATGGCATGAGTGTTGGATCGCAGCGATTCACCTCGCGAAATTTAACATTCAATAAGTAAGAATCTCGCTTCCCGAGGTACTACCAAATTAACTTCCATAGTTGCGGGACCGCTATATATCGACTTTGGGGTAATTTTCCTTCATCTTACTCTAATTATAATACTGACAATTTAAGATTGGGATGGACATATATGGGATTATCAATCAACAACTGTGGTGTAGGTCTCGATATGTTTGATGGAGGCTCTACAGCACAACAAGTTGGATCAGTAACTGTCATTGACAATACTTTCTCTAATACTCCTATTGGTATCCTTACTGCTCGAAGCAGTACATCACTTCCTCTTACCGCTGGAAGTTTAGCCATCGAAAATGTGGTTTTCACTAATGTACCAACCGCAGTAGAAGGTGCAAATAGTGTATCTTTAGCAGGAAGCACCGGTTCCATGACAGTCGCTGCTTGGGTGCAAGGTAATACCTATAGTCCTACAGGTCCCACTTCAACTCAAGGTGCAACATCTGCTTTCCCTCGTCCAGCATCATTGCTCAGTGGTACAAGATATTATACTCGATCTAAATCTCAATACAACGCTCTTGCAGCCACTCAATTTGTTAGTGTTCGTACAGCCGGAGCTAAAGGCGATGGGGTAACGGATGATTCAGCTGCTATCCAAGCAATCATCACCTCTGCAACTGCTGCTGGTAAAGTGGTATACTTCGACTCTGGTATTTATAAAGTAACCACCACAATTTCTAGTCCAGCAGGTGCTCGAATTGTCGGAGAGACTTATCCCGTAATAATGGGATCTGGATCCTTCTTCGCCAATATGGCTGCTCCTCAACCAATTATACGAATCGGATCCACAAGTGGCCAAACCGGTATTGTAGAATGGTCAGATATGATTGTATCAACGCAAGGCGCCACAGCAGGAGCAACACTCATCCAATGGAATCTCGCATCTACATCTACCACGCCTTCCGGAATATGGGATGTGCATACCCGACTTGGTGGGTTTGATGGTAGCAATTTACAGGTTGCTCAATGTCCCACGACAGGTACCCAACCGAATCCTAATTTCATCGCTGCATTTATGAGTATGAAAATCACTAGTATCGCGAGTGGATTGTATATGGAAAATGTATGGTTGTGGAATGCAGATCATGATATTGATGATGTGATTGATACTCAAATCTCTATCTATAGTGGAAGAGGATTATCGGTCGAGAGTACTACTGGAAACTTCTGGCTGTATGTATTTCCCCCCTTGTCGTTTATTGCAGAATCACTAAGAATTATCTAGGATTGGAACAGCTGTCGAACATCACGCGCTTTATCAATACCAATTCGCCAACACTCAAAATGTATTTATGGGATATATCCAGACGGAAACCCCGTAAGTGTTCTCTCCGATTCCAAGCCATCTTTCAACACCCTTTCCACTTCCCCATTATTTGCCTTGCCCTTTCCACTCCTTCTAATCCTATGATACCCCTTCTCTTTCTCCCACCCTCTACTCCACAACCACCCTAACAACCAAAGTTACTACCAACCCGTCCCCCAAGCAACCTCACCCTTCCCCCCAGTCACCACCCTCAACGACCCCGATTTCGCCACTTTCTGCGCCGGCAAATCTGCTACATGTTATGACGCATGGGGATTACGCATTTTAGATTCCCAGAAAATGCTCGTCTACGGCGCTGGTTTTTACAGTTTCTTTAACAATTATAGTCTTAGTAAATTTTCCCTCCCCTCAACCGATTATCTCCCATTCCCTTTCTATCTCTTCTCTCCATCCCTCAAACTAACAATCCCCTCCCCTCGCCCCACAGCATGCTCCAACCACACCAGCACAACTTACAACAGTAACTGCCAGACCCAAATTTTCGATATCGATGAAGGCGGGTCCGCGACGGAAGCATATGCAGGTTCGACGGTGTATGTATATGGATTGAATACGCTGGGGGTGGAAAGTATGATTGACATGAATGGGAAGAGTGTAGCAAGTTATACCGCGAATGAGAATGTTTATGGGGCGAATGTGGTGAGGTTTGTTAGTTAGTTGGAGGCGGTGTTGGAGAAAGAGGAAGGGAAAGAGTGGGAAGGAGGTTGAAGGTATATATTAGGATGAAGAAACGCACCAAGAGTTTTTGTATATAATCCATTTCCATTCAATCACTAATTAGGTTCCAAACAAGATATCATCTCGCTCGTACTCGAATCTTGTGAAACATGAATTCAAAATTATCATACCCACAAATAAGACCTCACAATCAAATTAACAGCAAGTAATTATCATTGAATACAATGAACTTCACTCCAATTCATCATCTTCAAAAACTTTTGATGGTATGTTGAGAAATTTGAATATGGTTGAGAATGATTGCAATAGAAACCGATACGGTCGGTGAAATGGTGCACAGAGCTCACTACTTGAGCGGAATATTAAGGGAGGGGACTGGTAATGATTTATCTCAAGAGCAATAACCCGACGCAGAAAAGTGAATCAAATGAACGAATACAATCGAGAAGAAGAGTTTTCAAACCCCCAAAACAACTACAATAATCATACTAGCAAAGTTTTGTACATACAATAAGAACACCTAACATCATTTCTCAATCCCACAATTGTTCAGAACCACCATACAAGCCCCCGTGTAACAAAATTCACCCGCCCGCCTGCCCACACGCCCACGCTCCCTTCCACCCTCCCCACGACCCCCTAGAACCTTTCCCTCCTCCTCCTCCTCTCCCTCTCGGAGTTCACCCTGATTATCCTCGCCGCCTCTCCACCGCCTTCTCATCTCCCCCTTCATCCTCCTCCACTCAAGCCACTGTATCCACCCCTGAAAAGTACTCCCCCACAACACCGTACACCTCTCCATCATAATTCTCAACCACAGCAACTTCTCCTCCACCACTCGATTCCTCTCTTCCCAATCCTTCTCCATCCACTCATCACTACACACCACCGCCAGAGTCATGCACACAAAGCGACAATAAAACGATATCGACGACGAACCCTGATTATTCATCATCCTATTTGCTGCCAAAGCACGGCATCCATTCAAGTTGGGCTCCAACGCTGCATTGTAGAGATGATACATGAAATCCAATTCTGCCAGTTCTCCTGCAAAGAAATCCTCGGGCCATAGTTTCAATTCTGCGATTCCCTCTGGCTTAAATTCATGTCCAATTGTCCAAGTAGGTAATGGGGGGAAGATTTTCAACCGCACATCTTCGAGCTGGGCAAGGAACCCGGCGAGTTGTTCAAGAGTTGCGATTAGATTCTCATCTTTATTTGGTGTTTCGTCCACTCCGGTAATTATATCATTGAGCAATCTACGAGTACCGACATTCCAACGAAAAAGTGTGGCGCGGCGATCTCGAAATTTTCCATGCCTAAATGCTTCCGAGTCTTCTAGGAGAACGAAACTTTCCTTGTGGGCTACTACTGCTTGCTTGAGCTTTGGGATAAGCAGTAAAGCTATCTCACCACGTTGTCCTGAATCAGCAGCAATCGATGGTTTTTGCAGTTCGATGCAAGCTTCACGTATCGCGGAGAGCTTTTTTTCTTGCTCTTGAGTGAATTCATAGAACTCTTCTTCTTTTGATGCACTTGCCATTATATCATCTAAAACTTTGAATGCTGTCTTTCTTGAAGGTGAAAGTTGTTTTTAATTGGTACGCCGCGACCGATTTGGCTAATTCTTGTCTCATAGCTTCTTGTCTCCCTTCATGGATCCTAAATCTAGCTATCCTCATCGTCGAACTTTCAGGAACACCGTATTCATCTTTGTTTTCCCATAGCGACATGGTTAGCGATCCCCACCCATGTTTTATTGACCGAGCATGAATTGCGGAGAAGCCAAACTTCAAGTTGTAGAAGTTAGTAAAGTCTTGAATCTGTTCGGTGGTAAGAGTAGAGGTGGATAGTAGAACTTACCCGCCGAATAACAGTATTCCAAAAGCCCAGTTTTCTCAGATCCTCTAAAGTTTGAATCGGGATAAAGTAAAGATATGACACATCATTATAGTCCGCAGCCGCATCTCTAACAATTGTTGTCGGGGTTCGCTGGCTTATGTGACACCAAGAGGGATAACTGGAACACATCCTATATGCAAGTGGAGCTGCAGGTGCCTTGAAGACTGGTTCGATGATACCACCAAAAACCTGATACTGATTAGCCAAGTATTCCAATATTTATCCAAGTTCGTATAAATCACGCTATTTTCCATTTCATACCCCAATTCGGACTGAGGTGAATCCTCGAAATATGGTTCGTACCCATCGCCGCGCATCTTGATATTCGGGTCGTCGAGAAAGTCAAAACCAATCGCATGTGTTAACTCGTGAATCATGACAATTGCTAAGTAATATTGGGCACCAGCTTTCTCTGCAGAGGTCAAATCGTTCCTCAATAGTATATCACAGAGCTTCATGTCCAAGAATATCCAGATGACTGATCTGTCATCACTATCCCAACCTAAGTGAGTCACACCAAGACAATTACTCTGTTGAGGAGCGTCATCCCATGGCATACGGATACCCGAGGCAAACCCCCACATCATTCTTTTTTGTAACGCTTTTAAACATTTAGTAAAAGCTTTTTCACATTCTTCAGAACCATTTGCCGTCCTAGTTTCTTGATCTCTGCGCCAGAATGTATAAACTCCTTCCGGAAACCTAGTTGTTGAAGTGCGTTGATCTACCAGTATTCGAGGTCCTAAGAGCATTGCATCCAACTAAGAAATAAGTCAATCAATTATCTTCACAAGATCTACCTAATAAAGCCGTGGAAGAGGGGATATACAAATGGTAAAGTATGCATTTCAGCAAGAAATGCACTTGCTAATGTGAGAACTGGCTTCATTTCCTTCAAAATATAAGGGTTGTCCATGATGTAATGGCCACCTTCCATCTCTTCGGGCGTCTGTAGAATCCATTCCCGTTGTCTCTGCCCAACTTTCTCCCACATGTTTTGTGCGAATATAGGATTAATTGGAATTGAATCAAGATCTGATTCTTCCAGAACTCTACCACTAACTATATCAAAATCGACAAGCTCCCGTATCGTGAATTCGCGGAGTTTCGTTCTTTGGAATTCCTCGATGCGTTTTTTCCTCTTCGATCTTTTTTAAACTGCCACTATGGTGAAGGTAGCCTGTGGGAGACCACCCGCTGGCTGCAGAAGCATAACCATGTGGATGGACATAAACTCGCTTCTCTCCATATTTGGTCCGACTAACATTAAAGATTGTATTTGTCGCTTGTCCAAATTTTATTGTTGGCATTGTCGGCAAATTTGAGAATGTTGAAGTTACTAAGAGGGGTCAAAACTTCTTGTGAATTGATAATTTTGTTTCCTGGATGTACATTATGAAAAGTCTTTGTCAAAGATCATGAAAAGTTAACACAACAACAAAGAGAAGCAATCCACGATAAAGATGTCCTTTGAAGGACTGGCCGTGAAGGAGTCCCAGGTCAATAATACGAGAATGAGAACGTTTCTTTCAAGTATAGAAAGAAACGGAGGACTTTTATGTAGCTTCACTAGAAGTATAGTGTATTTCATCAAGACCGAGTCATTTACACTTCTCTGGTAAGGAATATCTTACTACATCAATAGCATGAAACTTCATTACTTGGTTTCTGCATAGGCAAGATGTTTTTCTCAAAGAAATTGGTCTGAGATACACAAGAGATTTCAAGTATGAAAAGAATGGCATCTTGCAATAAATTTCGATGAGCCAACTCGATATTGATTTCTTCTAAGTCTTGATATAAAATCTAAGTGGTAGGATTTGGCATGCTGGTAGGCACTGATAACTCTTAACAAAGATACAAAGATACAATGCTCAGATTCAGAAGCATTTGAGCATCTCAACAGAGGAAACACTATATTGAAGTAAGTGATAAGACAACTGTAGTTTTGGTTGTTCTTTTGAGAATCATTGACATGAATGTGTGTTCATGATATGATGAGATGTGGTGAGGAAATGTCAAGGTATGCCAGGTGGTAAGATTTACCTGAGTGATAGAGGGAGAGGGAAGCTTGGACCATCATAATTCATGACAGGGGTCTCATTAGTGCAGTTTTAAGAGCTTTTTATGGCTGGGATATCCTCGGAAAAACTTTGTTTAGGAACAACAATAATCCGAACTACCCCCATCGATACTGCAACAAGATGGGTTCCAAGCCTACTAAAGAGAGCAGTCAGCCTCCAATTACTGCACCTCTTCCACTTCCACCTCCAACCCCACCACCTGCTCATCCTCAATTCAAATTGATCATCACTCCCCCTCCAATCGAAATCTCACCACGAAGATCTTCTGCATTCTCCTTGAACTCTTTTGAACTATTTAAAGAACAGAAGTTCTTCAGACACACAATCGGTCTTGAAAGATTTAATCAACCTTACACTACCAAGTTCCCATATCTGAACATTGGAAACCATTCCTACCAAGATCCTCCCCAAAAGTAATCAATCTTTACCACCGCAACAATGCTCATCAAGTATGTCTTGTCATATCTCTCTCATATCCTCCTCTCGATATCTGCAAATCTTCCATACTAATAATTCGCAGAGTCCGAACCCTCACTGGCAAGGAAATCGAGCTCGATGTCGAAGCTGACAACAAGGTACGTTTGTCACAACAGTTCCATATTCTTCCTTTACAACGCCAACTAACATTCCCATCACAGATCGAGAGAGTTAAGGAAAAGGTCGAGGAGAAGGAAGGCATTCCACCCGTTCAACAGCGTTTAATTTATGGCGGCAAGCAAATGTACGTTCAGTTTCATTTTACTCTATTCTCATTTCTTCCCCTCCCCTCCCCTCCATCTCCAACCTCCCAACTAACACCTCCCCCCAGGGCCGACGACAAGCTAGTAAAAGACTACGAACTCGAACCTGGAGCGACACTACATTTAGTTCTCGCACTCCGCGGCGGCATTTAAAAAACCTCTCATGTCATTTTCCTCTCAACTTTCGACCGCGTTGCTGCCTACCGAAATACCCCGTACCTCCTTCTTCATGACTTTTACGCATTCGAGCAAGTTTTCATTGGTTACGTCTCTTTTCCCCCCCTTTTCACGATACGATACATTGCGATGCGATGCGATACGATGAGATTACATTGATGGGCAGATGATTGGGCATTTTATTGATGGATGACACAGAAATTCCGAATATTATACAATGGGCGGTTTTCTGCGTGCGTGCATGAATTCGATTTTGGCTGTCTGATATGGGATTAGATTTTCAATAGACCGCGCATATCTCAATAATAAACTCTTCATAAAAACGCAATTCGGGTTTTACTTGAAGTTCGTTCATTCATGAGATAATACTCATTTGTGACAATAAGATTTATGTATGGATAATTATCATTTACAATGCTGCTCATATAATAGCTATCAAAACAGCTACAGACTTCACTAGATTCTAATAAACTCCATGATCCGGTCCCTAATATCCCGATATTCTAGAAGCCCTTTTGATACCTATATAACAAAACATGTCGTCACCCATGGCCTATGAAATAATATAGCCCTCCAAAACGCCTCACTGATAAACCCCCCAGATCCCAAAGTACCACTTCCCAATCCAAAACCCGATATATGAGATAATAAAATGTACAAAGAATGTTGGCCGTCTATCTTCTAGGTTTCTTAGGTCCACGGTTGAAGATATCGACAGGAGCTGGTCGTCTACGAGCAGGCATCATAGCTCCGGGTGTTGCTGGTCGAGATGATGGTGCCGAGCTCGTGCGAGAAGATGGTGCGGATGGTCTTGATGTTGCCTTGTTTGGTGGGGAGGATGAACGAATGCGAGTTGATGGTGCAACTGGTTTCATGATCTTGCGAGATGGCGGTGGCCGAGTCGTTGCTTTGTGAGTTGGTTCTGTCTCTTCATCCTCGTCAAAAAGGTTATCTACACCATCCGAATCATCACCGAACATGTCGTCATCTAGCATGGTCGGGGTTCCGGCTGAAGCTCCACCCATAGGCTCCTTTGAAGAACTGGAAACTGGCTTTCTACCACTCATTGCATCGCGTAATCGCTTTTCACGATCCTCCAGGGAAGGTCCACTAGATGGTGAACTGAGAGCACCGGGACTTCTGGCACCCGATGGCCTATGTCTTGTTAAAATCTTTAATGCAGGTTGGTTGGCAATTTTGTATTCTTGAGACATTCCAGCAGGGGCCCTTTGTACTTGTCCGTGTCTTAATCCGCTGCTCAACGTATTGAGTTTACTTCTTTGACTCATCTCCTTAGCTTCTCGACGAGCTTTCGTCAGTACGCTTGCACCATCCGTAATTTTTGTTCTGCTACCTCCACCCCAAGTCAAGGAACTAGGTCCAGCATTTTGAAGAGCCCTTCCCTTGGTCAAAGGAACACCTCCATTGTGTGCGCGCATTCCATAATCCCTTGGAATTTTCGGTAAACGTTTGAGATCGACAAATCTGCTAACATGATCTTGTTTATGTTGCTTCAATGCATTCATTGAATTCATCAGAATGGCTTGAGCGCTAGCAACTTCCTCATCATGCTCGGTTTTGTATTTCTTGTAAACTTGAGCCCACTTGGTTGGATCTCTTGGCACATAATTCTTTGTTTGCCATTTAGGAATGTCTCGAACGATGAATGCTTTCCAGAGCTCCGCAGTTTCACCCTTTATATGTGGAGATCTTTGCTCGATTTTATGAAGTTGTTCGGGATTGGTAATATTCTTTAGGATAGGGTAGGCTACATGGTATGATGTATATCCAATATCATGCAAGTCTTGAAGATGTTAGCGATGAACGATCAAATCATAATAAAGTAATATACAAAGCCTACCTTTGATATTTCTTAAACAGGTTGCTTTACAAAGATTGTACAGGGACTTGACACCGGTATGTTCTTCCATAATGTCGTTTCGTGTTAAAAATAGGGATGAATGATAATTTCAAGGAGTACTCAAGGATCTCTAGATGTACCTGTGTTGGAGAGGCTGACCGTTCGAGAGGTTGACAGATTAAGCGTTTTGTGATATAAAAGAGGATTTACTCTGATTAAATTGAAGTTTTTGTATGGCAGAAATGAAGAGATAGATTCGTGAAGGTAGATTTCTTTCCTGAAATTAAAATGAATTAAAATTGTTGTAGAAAATTGAGAATTGGTGAATAGCATGCTTTATTTTGAACAAAGAAGAAGTTTGGGGGAATTTATAGATTATGAAGCCCGCACTGAGTGAGGTGGGTCACCAGCATCTGGAACCCCGGACTAGAGGTGCACTAGCGGCCGTGGTAAATTCGTAGAACTATTCTTAGCTTTCAAATGTTCCGCATCAATATCACGACCAACAGACAATAATCGATAAATACATACCTTCAAGATGGCTTCCTATCAACTCTTAGATCAAAGAGAGGAGGACGAACTACACAAATCTCGCCTTCTTAATGTCGAAGAAAAACCTTTCAAGCGTATCACTAAACGTTTACTCACTCCTGGATTCGTCACTACGCCTAGCAAACTTCCTACACCACCATTAGATTCCAACGAAGAGATTGGGGAAGCTGATCAACAAAAGATTCTCGATGAGCGTCGTCAATTGCGCGAAGATGTACTTCTCGATTTCGCAGCATTTGACAGCAGTCTCGCGCGCATTCAATTTCTTCGCAACAGTAATGAACGCGAACGCGAGAGGTACAAGGCCGACAAGGAACATATTTTGGAAACAGCACAAGCGGTGAGAGATAGTACTGCTCAGTTGAGAATCCAATTGGAAGAGGCGAAGACTACATTGGAACAGAGAAAGAAGTTTGACGAATTGGCCGAGAAGATCACGAATAATATGTTATTGCGACCACGAAAGGATCAAGAAATTAATTTGAGGAAATTGGAAGATGAGTGCAAGGAGTTAGAAAGAGAAAGCAGAACATATGGTGAGACATGGAAAGAGAGGAGAGAACAATTTGGTAGAATTGTTGAGGAGGGAATGCAATTGAGAAGGTTGATTAGAGATGAGAAAGAAGAGGTCGAAAGACGAGAAGGTATGGACGGAGGGGAGGAAGATGGTGAGGTTGGAGATGGAGATGGTGATGGACCGACCCCCCAAAGGCGAAATAGCACAAGTGACGATGCAACACCAAGACAAGGAAGTCCAGAAAGAGATACACTTAAACCCAAACCTATGCCTTCTGGATCAATATCAAGATCCGGTTCAAGGCCCGGTTCGAGGTCTGGCTCGAGGTCTGGCTCAAGAGGTAGATCAACGAGTCGAATAGCATCTCCAACGCGATCAGAACGGGCTAGAAGTCGTAAACGTAGAGGGGAAGAGGGAGAAGGGGAAGATTTTGCAATGACAGATGCAAGTGCTAGACAAGTGGACATGGATCATTCGGCCGACACACCTATGGCGGATGGGATGAATTCAACGCAAGAAGGAACACCAAGAGTCACAATTAATGAACCAGAAGAAGGATCAATAGATGAGGGAGAAGTTGGTGATAAGATGGATACCACGTAGGTATTTTTAATCAATAATACTTTCAACACTATGTACAATATAATGTACCATACCAAATCAGAATGATACCCTCAATGACTTTGTATTATCTTGCGGTGTAAATTGTGCATTTCATCAAAACCTTCGTCACACATCATTCATAACGCTTCGCAAAATTGGGTATATTCATCGTGAATCATGATTTCGTCATCCAGAATCCTTAGTTTCCAGCAGCAATAGCCTTCTTTGCTTGATTGATAACATCATTTGCCTTTGCCTCTTCTGCCTCATCACCACCTCTTTGAACTAAGTCCTCCAACTTAAGTATAGCGTCTGCGAGTCGCTCACGGAGTGGTGGGAAGACTGCTTTGGTTTCTTCGATTGCGGCGCGCTATTCGATTATTAGTTTTTGATACCCAGATTGCTATGGTATAAGAGCACAAGAACGTAGAATACTAACCTCCTGCTTCAGAGAATACTCTCTGTTCTCATCCTCCTCAGTAGCTTCCTCTAATTTCTTTAATCGTGCCTGTTGAGAAACCAACTCTTTATGGTATGAAGCTTCTTCCTTTACAAGACGAGCAACAGATGATGTAGCTATAGCGAGTTGAGATGGAGGCGCCATTTTGAGTGATTTTCTGGAATTTTCGAAAAAAAGAATCGTGTATGTTTGTTAAAGTTTTGAGACTTTGAGGGGCTGAATTTTGAGGATAATGATACTGTCCTGGAGGGGTGCTTGACCGCTTTTCTGGCAGAATAATGTCGCGAGATCAGATGATTTTCTTTGAATTCTTCACTCCAAAAGTAACAACTACTTATCCATGGTAGTGCACAGGATGTGTCTAGAACTGTTGTTGGCAACATTGATTTGGTATTTTTTCAATCTCGTGTCGATAGGTAAGATCTCTGTTCCATACAATTGTCGTTATGAAGAAGATTGGATGAAGAAATGGGTGCCTTCAACGGATCATTATTTATATATCTGCTTCTCGCCATTTTGTGCTAGAGTCATGAAGCAAAGAAACAAACTTTTTCATTCACGGTAGTTAGTTCTAGCCACCAATTTCTAGCCACCAGTTTCTAGCCACCAAGTTCTAGCCACCAAGACTACGATAGGTATCGTTAACTTCAAGGAGCCAGTGCTCACAATTGTTGGTCATGAGAGGTGTCAAGATGATAGGAAATCATCAGCCGAGTCTTTCTATCGGCCCGATCAGGTGACCTTTGAGAAAGTGCTCTGGCATAGACTGTCTTGATTTCTCTTGTTGTACCTTCATGCTTTTCTAACAGTTCTCGTCATCTAGAACAATTAGAATAGCCTGTTTAGGGTTGCAAGTATGTTGAGCATGAGCCTTTAGTCACGCATATTCCTCAATGTTACATAAAGTGATGGATCGAAGTCAGATCCGTCAAATGTCGTTCTTCCAAAGCTATAATCTTCGTATGACATTACAACTAATTCCCGGTGCACAACATGACACTCTAACGCCGGAATTATAATGTACGTACCACGTAACCTGTTTGTCCGCTGGACATCAAATTTCTCGCATGAAGTACGACATATATGTTTCAATATAGGAAGGCTTTAAGTTGAGTCGGGACGAGGAAAATGAATCAGCTACTTCGAAAGCCAATTGTTTGGCAATGACGAATCTGAAATGATTAGTTTTGTCAGCTTTCTACAGTGAGAGGAAGAAAATCGATCCTAGATGTCTCAATGATCTCTTGCTCTTGTCTTGTGTCGTGGTTCGCTCCGAGAGAAGGGAGATCCAAAGGCCCTACAAACTAGTAACAATTGCTTGAGGTTTTTGCGGGATGTGAACCCCTGGTGTAACTTCATTCTCCGCAAAGTCTCATAAGTTATAAAACATATCGACGTTATTCACTGGTACAATATGTGATCATTCACAATGAGCGCCAATAAATTTTGGTCATACATAGATCAACGAACCCATCTTTCGTAATTTATACAATATAGGCTCATCACCTCGGTGAAATATGACTTTAGCTACAAACATATTTATTCTCATAGTCCCTGGTGTCTTTTGGCTTTTTCCGCATCTGTATTCCATTTCAACATCAAAATGATTCTTCACTCTACTCTTATCAGTGTCTTGGCTGCAATATCATTCTTACCATGGTTATCCTTTTCCGCACCAACAGTAAACCGAGCTACATCTCCTAAATATGTCTTTGCTCATTTTATGGTAAGTTATCCTTGTCGATAGTCTTTTGATACTCATATTAATCAGTTTCTCAACAGGTTGGGATTGTCGAGAATTATAAACTATCTGACTGGAAGATGGATATGGCATATGCACAAGAGATCGGCATTGACGGGTTCGCTTTGAATTGTGCAAGTATTGATAGCTATACTCCAACTCAACTTGCACTTGCATATCAAGCAGCCGAAGAAACTGGATTTCATGTTTTCATATCATTCGACTTTGCATATTGGAATAACGGAAACACCAACAACATCACAGATTACATGAACAAATATGCATCTCATCCTGGCCAAATGCAATATAATGGAGGAGCTGTGGTCAGTACCTTTGTGGGAGATTATTTTGATTGGGCACCTGTCAAAGCTGGAACAAATCACTCAATCTTTGCCATTCCTATGATGCAAGATCCTATCGAAGCAAGTTATCTCTCTACATCGTTCGATGGTGCTTTTTCTTGGTTAGCATGGCCTACAGATGGTGGAAATAGTATTATTCCCGGTCCAATGTCAACTTCATGGGATGATAAATTCCTGACAAATCTCAAAGGAAAGCCATATATGGCTCGTAAGTAATCCATGATTTTGGAAGCAGGAATCATTATTGATTTTCATTTAGCTGTTTCTCCATGGTTCTCGACACATTTTAACTCTAAGAACTGGGTGTTCATAAGCGAAGAACTCATTACCGACCGATGGAATCAAATGTTGGCTATGAAGCCCGCACTTATTGAAATTATATCTTGGAATGGTAAGTATGATGCTTCATGAAAGCAAAATTAAGCTCACGGATGTTCTAGATTTCGGTGAATCTCACTACATCTCTCCAGCGGAGCCAAATCATAAAGATGATGGTTCATCACAGTGGGCTGACGGCTTTCCTCACGATGGTTGGCGTATAATTACAAAACCATATATCGCTGCTTATAAAGCTGGAGCAAGTACACCAACCATCACAGAAGATCAACTTGTATATTGGTATCGACCAACACCTAAAGGCATTACTTGCGCAAATGATACTCTTGGACCTCCAAATGGACGCGAAATGCTCGCTGATGATATATTTGTCACCACTCTCCTTACAAAACCAGCAACTCTAGTTGTTACCAGTGGAGATAAGACTCCTCTATCAATTGACGTACCTGCTGGGATCGTCACCACCAATTTCACCATGGGTGTAGGGAACCAATATTTCATGGTCACTAGAGAAGGCAGTCCAGTCTTGAATGGATATGGTGGTTTGAAAATAGCCGACAAGTGCGAGAAATACAACTTCAATGCATATGTGGGATCTTTGAATGGTACTAGTAGTGATGGTCCGCCGCCACCGGCTAATACAACTTCAACGAGTACTTTAATAACCACGACTTCTACCTCTACCTCTACATCGTCAACATCTAGTCCCATCACCACAACGAGTACGACAAGTACTCTCCCAATTCCAACTACACCCTCATCCTCCAGCACTACATCAACAACTAGCATAACCAATTCCAGCACTTCAATTATTTCCTCCACGACCACAACTTCTCCTACTTCCATTATTCCCACCACGACCAAAACTTCTTCCCCTACTTCCAGTTCCTCAACATCCACCTCCCCTTCAACACCTTCTCCCTCTACAGTCTGTACCTCAGGCTGGGGTCCAGGAAATTATATCGGTCTCTGTCAATTTACCTGCAACTTTGGCTATTGTCCCCCTGGTCCTTGTACATGTTTATCGTATGGTGCTCAAATTCCTGAGCCACCAATCACAAATCAAGCAGGTTATCCGTTACCAGGAGAAGATGATAGTTATTTGGGATTGTGTAGTTATAGTTGTAATCATGGATATTGTCCACCTACTGCTTGTCGATTGGGTTAGGTTTGGTGGACGACGGGAGGATGTGCGACTATATTATGACTTCATTTGAGATGAAGCAGTGGTAAAGAGTTTGCAGTATGGAAGTTCGAATGTTTGATGCTTCTTTCAATATTCGTTTAGCATAACATTGTTTCGCAGGTCATACAATGATTTATTGGCGTCTGAAATGCGTTGGAATGATAGATTCAGATAGATAGATATGATGAAGAGCTATACATATATCGGATATTCTCATTAAATAACAAAGAATCTAGATTGTATGAATGTCTCACGAATGAAAGTATAACCAGAGCTATAGGAAGATGATAACTAAACGAAATACGTTCAAAACTCGACCACAGCTCAATTCTCTTCAGAGTGGAGCCTCGTTTTGTTGTTGTATCCGAAGAGCTATGTACAGGGTTGAGACTCATCATACAACGAACAAGAACTTTTCCAAACATTGACTTTTCATCTACTTTCTACTCCGCAATTGAAGTTTATTTGGCACATTGCGTGTGTTTACCTGCAGGATAGATAGAAGAGAAGATTTGCAGTCTAGGAATGAACGCATTATAATTAGGGGGTGTTGGCTGGTGGGTAGCAATATACAACAAACAGTTGGTTGGATCAGAGATTTGAGCCAACCCTTTCGCCCAAAGAGAAACCCAGCAAGTAAACAGCAGTTTCAATAATTTTAATTTCTCAGAAAAACTAAAGCAGAACTACATGCAAACCGAAGTAGCACCATGTCCATCTTTTAGTTTGGAATTTTCAAGTCCTCAACCAATAACATATTTTCGGCTCGGCTGTTAGATGGATGTGTTTGTAACCATCAGGTGAATTGTAGGCAGTTACTTGCAGCCGAAAGACGATCTACCTACGCCTCTTCGTCGCATATTCACAACCCCAAGACATCTTTGAGGGTATTTAACTCTCTACTATTCTCAACATTGGTGATTCAACCTTTTCGATAATACATAGCCTTCAAAAACAGATCGATATGTTCGCCGAGATTGTTAGCGGTTTGGCTCTAGGCTATTTGCTATGGAGCATGATTGCCATGGAAATCAACCATCGTCGTGCATCAAAGATGGGAATTCCTCTTATTCGGCTCCCCGTGGACCCAATGAATATGATTTGGCTGATTTTGGAGCCATCTCTCTGGAGACTGTTGGATCAATTACCTATAATCTTTGGCAATTTTAGTCATTATTCACGCCGAGGCTGGCATTTTCACGACAAAGCAACATCGCATTTGAAATATGGTCCAATCTTTGGATTGGTCACTCCTTGTGATATCTACGTTTATGTTGCAGATCCTAATGCTATTCATGAAATATTTACCCGACGCGGAGATTTTCTTCGCCCATCCAAGATGTACAGTAAGTTATCACTAGGTTTGGTGATCAACAGAACACTAATTCCTGTTAGCTCTTCTCGAGGTCTACGGTCCATGTATATCCACAGCAAACTGGACTAATTGGCCACGACACAGAAAAGTTCTGGCTACACCCTTCAACGAAAACATCATGAAGTTCGTTTGGCAGGAGTCACTCAAGCAGGCAAAAGAAATGCTGGAGACATGGAATCAGCGTTCCGAATCTCGGGAAATATCCACCGCCAAAGATACGCGCACTCTATCTCTGAATGTTCTCGCTGCAACTGGCTTTCGAAAATCATATCAATTTCGTAGCTCTGCCCAGGCTGCAACAGATGAAGCTGTTAGCTATCGTGACGCGCTGCAAACTGTCCTGGATAATGTAATATTGATCATGTTTATTCCTTTCCGATATTTGTGTCTACCCTTTATGCCGAAATCTTGGAGGCTCGTGGGTAAGGCTGCTACTGATTTCAAAGTATACATGGAAAATATGTTGGATGAAGAGTCTACCTTACTCAAAGAGGGTAAGGTCGGCAGTGGAACTTTAATGACTTCTTTTGTAAGAGCTTTGGGAGTACATCAAAAAGAGGAAATGGTTCCATCCCGACAAACGGCACAATCTGCTTCCAAAGGTCTCACGGTCGAAGAAATTTTTGGCAATATTTTTGTTATCAATTTTGCCGGGCACGATACCACGGCAAATACACTAGCTTTTAGCATGATTCTCCTTGCAGCCTATCCAGAAGTTCAAGATTGGGTTGCGGAGGAATTGCAAGAAGTCATCAAAGATACTGCCGACGAATCATTGGAATACGAAAAGGTGTTTGAGAAGCTTAACAGATGTAGAGCTGTACTAGTACGTAACTCAGTCCATTCAAAAGTTTCCTCTTCTACATTCTCATTTTTTCTAATACATCTAATATAGCTCGAAACTCTTCGACAATTTCCGCCCATCATGGCACTGCCCAAGTGGAGCAATGACATTCCACAAACGCTAGATATACAAGGAAAAATATTATCATTCCACCCCATACAGGAGTAATGCCTAGTATACTCGGAATTCAAATGCATCCAAAGTACTGGGAAGATCCCTCGCTTTGTAACCCTTCTCGCTGGATTGAATCTACGCCCGACCCAACTTCCCACACTGGCACATTGAACACAGAGAAAGTTATTACTCCTGCTACCAGTACGTTTTTCCCTTGGTCTGATGGACCACAGAATTGTCCTGGTCAAAAGTTCTCCCAGGTCGAATTTGTCGCAGTTTTAGCAATCTTGCTACGACATCACCGAGTGAGTGTCGTTCAAAACGATAATGAAACCCCGGAAAAGGCACAAGAGAGAGCTTTGTTTGTCACTCAAGACTGTGACATGGAATTACTTTTGAGAATGCGTGATGCTGACCAAGTAAACCTGATTTGGAAGAAGATTTAGGGGGGGGATGGTTATTCGTGTGGGATAGGCCTGATTTGGGGGTTTTCTTCATGCATTTGTCGAATGACAGGCTCAATATATCTCGAGATTTTTCATTAGTAGTCAGTTTCAAAGCAAACTTCACTATCAAAGTAGGTGGTCTTTGTAGTTTATCTGATGGGAGGATATTATTTAAATTCACAATCGGGTTTAGAAAATCTTGCTTGGATCAGATGGGTCAATATTGAAAACTGTGTAAGTTTACTTACGCAGTAAAGCCTTGAGTTGAGTTGTGGTTTCAATACATATTTTCACGAATTACCTAGCCTTCAGTACCCCAATTGAGGAGTTTCCAATACCACTAATCTAAGTCAACTTGTAATATTGGAGGGGAAAAACCACGTCAGATATAGGCATTTTGTAATGAGGAGATTGTGGACTTGGGTTTGAAACATACAACTACTAGCTATCTACATTTTCACTCAACAACCTGCAGATTCATCTGAAGACCATAATCTAGCTTCATTCATCTGTCCATTCAACAATGATTATTGCCATTCTGGCTTCTGGTGGAACAGTGATCCCAGTGAGTTGGGATCTGGAGTCGGCTCTCGAAAACAAAGAAGCCCAGATCTGGGGATCTCGCTCTCTGGCATTATTGATAGCCTTCTTGGAGATGTCCATTAGTCTATTGGAGATTGGTCAGACACGTGTTGTTTGAATTTATCTCTCACTGATATCAAGAAAGGAAAGAAAACGGCACAGATTTCTATAGAGCCACGGGAATAACTCTGAATAGTGCAACGGATATATGAGTAGAAATAAGGGCAACAACATGGTTACCTGAGCAATATGAAATATGAACTCAGGCAAAATTTTGTAGTAGGGCCGCACAATACCTAGTATTTATATATTATTTTCAACTTTGAATATTTCTTTCCTCAACCACCCACATAAAAAATTCATCAACCTCAACGATGAACCCAAACTCGAGAGGCAACTACCCACCTGGGTATGGACCTCCAAATCCAAATCCAAATCCGTACGCAAATCCTTACGCATACCAAAACGCACCAGTATATGACTACTCATCCGGTCAATACTATTACCCGTAACCACAACCTTGGCCCACTCCAAGTCCTAACGGAGCATGGCAGCCTCAAGGCTATCAACAACCTTATGGCACGCAAAATCCTAACGGATCATGGCAGCTACAAGGCCCCCAACCGCTAAATCGCGACCAGCAAAGAGCTGCAGCACGAAAAGTTGTACTTCAGTGCGGCAATTGCTCTCGCATAGGTGATGAGCTGAAAAGATGTGTTGGTCCAGTTAATGCATTCGGTGTTATCGATGGATGTCCAATGTGCAACACAACGGACCACGTTCTTTTTGAATGTGTCAAAGCATGGAAATCCGATGGTAATCAACGCCACTTGCTGATGCTCGGTCGAAATCAGAAAGCTATGTTATCATGGCCAACTGAATTGACTGAACATCCAGTTTGGCAAGCCCTATCCGCCGAAACCAGACCGAAAATCTGGACACCATCTTTCGCACTGCAGTACCAATTGGAAAATCCACATTATTGGAGAGACTATGTTTACGCAAGGACATGGCAGGAAGATCCACTAATTGCAGAAGACCCAGCCTGGGGAAATCCTTCTCTCGTGATTCATCTCAAAGATAGATCGGAGAGAGGATTGACCCGTAATGCAAGCGGTCTCGGTCGTCGACCACAATCACAACTTCCTCCACCATCGGCACAATATTTTCCTCCTCCGATGATGCCGCAATTTCCATCATACGCATCGAATCCACCACCACCGCCTCCACCTCCACCGCCGTCGCAGCCGCCAAGATCAGCACCCGCCTCATCACCTGATACAATTACTCTTGCAGGACTTGAGAGCAGCTTGACCAAATTCGCCCAGAACTTGATGAATCTTGCTCCCGCTGGTGGTAATAATGGTCGTGGTCGGAAGAAGCTCGCCATCAAGGGTGCATCCAACGCCAAAGTCAAGGATCGAAGTCAAAGCCCCAAAGGTCAGACTGAGACTGAAACTCACCGCGAAAGATCGCCTCTCCGCACATCCGGTGTCAAATTGGCAGATCGCATATTATATCCTAAACTCAATTCCAGTCGGGTGAAGGCTGATAATGACGGCGATATCTCTGATGATGACGTGGAACCTTTGTTGAAAGTTGAGAATGTGCTCTCTAACTTTGATGATGCTCCAGGAGATGCAGGAGATGCAGCATCGGCAGCAAAAGCAGCCAGGAAAACGATTCTCAATCGTAAGAATCGGGCGAGAGCAAAAGCCAGGCGCGATGCAACCAAAGCCAAAAATCTGAGTCAAAGCCCTGAAGCTCAGATTAAGACTGAGACTTACCGCGAAAGATCACCCCTTCGCACACCCTATATAAAGTTGGAAAAGTTGGAAGATTCCATGTCTTATCCTGAACTCAAACCTAGTTGGGCGAAGGCTGATAATGACGTGGAACCTAAAGGCCAATAATAGCTTCCAGTTGCCTCCTCTTACCGGAAAGCCTCACTGATCTTTTCTCCTTTTCTCTCTCTCTTTTCTCCTTTAATTTGTTGCTCCGCTCTTAATGTAATATCAGAACCTTGGTGTTCATACTGGACCTTTGTGTTCATATAACCTTTCGTGGGGTTCATCATGCCTTTTGGGGGGCTTGGTATTCCTAGCGGAGCCAATTATATAACATGTATTCTTAGAAAAATGCATCATTTTCCAGCTCAAACTTTTTCCATGCATAAGTGATTCTCTTGGGGGGGGGGGGGGGGGGGGGGGGAGCATTTGATATCGAATGAACTAACAAACTAACAATTTGATAAATTTCCAGAAGTATACATTGAATGAAATGAACTGACTGAGACAACATTAATTTTTTGGTAGAAAAATCAAGAAGAGACAGAAAGTGGTATGAAGTATGGTTTTTGAAAGTTACTTGACTGGTCTGTAGATCTCCGAATCTCTGCTAGAAACTTCCTTGCTGGTATCAAAATAGGAGAAGTAAAAGAAGGTAACTATAGGAGTGCAAGAAGCTCTCTATACGCCGCACACTTTTCGGAATAATATCTTGAAATCGGGAAAGACATATTTGTATTGCTTTATTGGTAGGTTCACTACTGATGTACGAACTGACAAGACAATACGAGAATGGACTTGGAAATATCTCTTGGGAATTGTTACAATGTTTGATTATTGATTGAACAATCAAAAGATAAATTATGATATCAAACAATCGAAGAATGAATTTGTTGAAAATTTCGAAAGTTGAGAAGTGTCCCGTCAGACCATGCATCCACTGGTGTTTATGCCATTTGTGCTTCCTGGGTAAATATTTCTTGAAACCAGCTCTAGATTAACCATGTCGATGAACACAACTCAATACACATGATTTGCTGAATATATCGTTTTGTGAGTGATAGATGGTGAAGTTTAATATGTATGATTGATTGATGATCGAATGAAGTGAAGTTAGAGTTCGGTGAAAAATTTCCGATAAGCGATATGTGCCTGAGGATTTGCAGCGGCCGCTAATTTGATTGCTAATGAAATAAGCACTGGATTGACTGCCGGGGTTGCGAATTGCACCTGTCCTCCTCCTTGTGTAACAAGCAAACTTTGAATTACCTATCTAGATATATAATTAAGAAGCATGGTGGTTGAAAATGTATCTTGTGAGAATCCTTCTGATTCTCCATCATTGATCGTGAATCTCAGCGTAACCATCGGTCACGCTTGAGTGTTGACCGTCGTGCTCTCAACCATCTTTCGAATTAATATTGAAATCTAAGATGTGATGTTAGCGATGTGAAATGTTCGACCCTATTGATGTTGATATAGTGCTAATTGTTTCCTAGTCCAGAAGAACAAGAGCCTGCTACACTCCACATCATATAATAGCTGCATAGCAATTGTCTCCTGTCCCTTGCTACGAGTTCGCAGTTGACTATACTGCAGATAGTATGAAACGAGCCCTTAGTACAATAAAATGACTATGTCTAGGCTATACTCTACTTGTAGGGATCAGGGTCAGTTAAGACAAGCTCATGCGGTTCGCGTGTTAACGGCGATAGCAGGAGGTACTAATCGGTGAACGGGTCTGGCTGGCCTTAAACATAACCACTGAGACTTTCTTTGATCTGAAGACGCAATATTCCCGTTGAAATGCATTTCTATTTGTCTCGGGAGATAGTAAGTTCTGGCCTGTCATGATATAGATAGTTGCGGATTAGCACGACGCTAATATTCTTAAAAAAGTATTGTCAAGAGTATGAAATGAGCTCTATATCTAGTTCGACCCAAGTCTCAGGCAGGCAAATCAAGCTCAATCTTAGAATTTTCAGGTAGATTACATGCCGCGTTTGCTATACTCTTGATGCGTACGACGGGCTACCGGCATTATGCATCTTGCTGATCAATCATAATTCTTGATTATTCGACAGCCAATCACAGCAGATTACCAAAGACAAGTTCAATATAATCTGTTGGCAGATTCAACCCTCTAGTGTGCATTCTCTGCAGCTAGCCAGAACCTGCAATTGATTTATCCGTCTGAAGGCCGGTAGCTGCGACCGAAATGGGTTCATGGAAATCTCACATCTACCTTCTCAGTCCCAATCAATATATTCACTCAACGGATACAGATAACCAGGAAAAGATGCAATGAATCAATCATATCGATCTTGAAAGTCGCATTAAATAAATTGGTAATCGGGGTTCATTTCATTTCTGATTTTGAAACGTGAGGTCAAATATATGGCACCAAGCTTGACTTTATACTACGTTGGGATTTGGACTGAAGAGACAACGTATCCACCTGCGGGATGGATCAACTAATTGTCACAGGAGCTACGCCAGAGCGGCTTGAGCGTGCAAGAACTCTTCAGCGTAAACTCTTGGGGCTCATCTGTAAGTAAATCCGCTTGCAACGTTCACTTGTCGCGTCCCGTACTAATCCTGAATGCATTAGCTGCGAGGACAGGCTTATTTGAACTTATTCGAACACCTCGAGAGTCAAGTATTAGTTTTAATTGGAGGGTTACGAGTCCTGAATATGATGGATTTCCTAGTGAACCGGACGAAGTAAACAAATTCCATCCACTGCCACAAAAAATGACCATCAAATGGTTGTTGGAAGATATCAATAAGTGTAACAAGGCATTTGATGGAGGCTTCATTAGTATAAAAGCATCATCACAATCTCATAGATAGACAAGACGCGATGTCCAAAAGTATACGAGAATTCGATCGCATGATTTCATAGGTGCGTACCAGAATCTTTTGGAGATCAGCTAGGTGACTGAAGTTTCTAGAGTCTTTGCTCGGGCGTTCTCTTAATGTTCGACCGCATTGGATTAGTCCGGTCTTAAATGATGAACGGTTCAATTCCTACCGATGGCAGTTCGGCGAGACGTTTTCCGAGTTTAGGCAGAAGTCTTTCTCGCAATGGCTTTGCGCAAATTATTTCGAGCTTAACAATTCTTTAGACACTGTGGCTCTAACAGTTGTTCCAATTCGTGAATATGAAGCTAGCCAGAACAGAATCTCAACGAGATTTTGCAGGCCAAAAGCACAGGTATCGATCAGCCAGATGTCACCTTCAGCAATCGTACCCTTCCATGAGAATGGGACACAGATACCAGCAAGCGAAAAGGTTCAATGTAACGAAGCGTCTACAAGCATCATAGCAGGCAGGCTTCATGAGGAACGCGGCACGTCGGATCTCGTACTTCTATGTAACCAAGCATGGAGCCACTTAGAGAATCAGTATACAACGAATGACTGCAAAAACAACTATACTAAAGCCACGCTCAACAAAGAATTATCTTTTGCAATCCAACTAAAAGATCAAATTCGACGTGCCAACGCACTTGAGAATTAGAACAATAGATTGAATGAACAATTTTTGCAGTTAGAACACGATCAAGCAATGCTGCAACGAGAGATCCTAAATACGCGGGAGAAGGATGAGAAAGATGTTTCCGCTGCAAGATTAGGGGGTGAGAAAATCGCGGAGGAAAACATATTGAGGCTCTGGAATTCGGCAAAAGAGAGGGGTGGAGTAATTGGAGTTTGCGCTATGGAGAAAATGTTTCAAAGGCAAAGAACTTCATCAGATATTACAAGTGACGCTCGCAACGACTTATCGACCCTTCCTTTGGTCATACCAAACTCCAGAATTGGGGGAAAGCGAGACTTTCAAAATGTATTTTACCTTGCTCGCATATACTATTTGAACTCCTTAGATTCCTCCAATGTGCGCGGACGAAATTCGCGACCATCTGTCCAAAGCATGCGCTCTCCATTCACCTCTACATTCCAACCCAACTGATCCGGCAGATAACGCTATGACTTCTTCCAATAATCTTCTTCCTACCATTGCAACTTTTGAATCCCAGAAATCCCGCCATAAAACTGCCATTACCAATGCTTCGGTACAGATCCCGCCTGCTACTAACGCACTCCACGAGTCCTTTCTCAATAGAATCCTTGGGCCTATCAATCACACTCTTAACATAGTTCCACCATCGCATGTTCCAAATCTCGTTCAATGGACGGGATTTTTCACCATAAATTTGAACACGCAACCATGTATCTTCCCTCTATCAACCCCTATGCAAACCTACGGACAGATTGTCCATTTTGTCTCCCAAGCTACAGCGGAATCGACTCGAGCGACGCAAGGAACCGCTTATCCTACTCTTTTGCTACTTTCACAAGACACAGACGAGTATCATTACATTGGTAATTTTGTCGTAAGCAGTGTGGTCACAAGAACAAACTTCAATCAAGTCTTGGAAAATTTGCCCGGTTTCTCGCCAAATGATAGGCATACCAAACACGAATTGCTCAAGGAAAGAGATCGGGCTTTGGGCTCAATATCAGAATTTGCAGATGATTTGCCGGTTGATTTTTATACTTTACAGTATATCTTCTTTGGCAAAGAACAATACAAGATCCTCGTATATGCAAAGAATAAGTATGATGCTATGAAGGCTGCAGATTATACCATTGTTTTGTTGATAGGGGCTGGTGATCAAACTGATAAATCTTCCAATCCATCTATAACAATAGATAGAGCCAGCCAAACAGATTACTTGTCAGAACCGCATAACCAAAATTTTACCCCTCCGGGTCTAAAGGTTCCGACCGCGCCTAAGGCAATTCGGAGTGATCACTCAACTATCGAGGATCAGACTCTCTCGGGGTCAATCCATCGTAGTTCCATCAGTTTATCATAGGTTCATAATGTCCCAACGGAGCCAGCAGCAATGAGAGATGGCCATTTGTCCAGCGAGAGTGGGACTTTAATAAAGTCAAGTCATCATAATTCCATCCGCTCATCCCTTTCTCAAACCATCAATATTCCCAAGGGACCAGCAGCAATGATGAGAGTGTATCCGCCTACTCCTGAAAATGAAGTTCGATCACAGTCAAAGCCGACCTGGTCTAGCACTATTAGCACAAATAGTTCTCTAGTAAATGGAACATCTAACGAACCAATGGTAGAAGGGAGAAGCTATGCGAGTGGCGAAAAGGAGATTCCGAAGAATTCAAATCATCATGACATTGTGAGCACACCTCTCACCCATCTCAATTGTTCACAAGGAGCAACTGCCACATTGAAGGGAACGCCCACGTCTGGAAATAGATCCGAAAGCTTCGAAAACTCGTGGTGAAATGCGCGTGGAGGGTGAGAGAACAAAATTGTCGCCTGTCTGATCTGTTTTATTCACACGGAAAGTCTTGGAGATGATTTAGATGTAAGTCTTACCTATCTGATAGAAAACACGCCCAAGGCCGATCTTAGACTTGCAAGCAGAAGTAATACCTCTACCGCTGGTCAATCTTCTGCGCAAGAAAGGGTGAATACGCCTCAGGCACAATCTCACGCTATCCCACCGCCTCCAAAAATCATGGGAAATAGGGAGGACGTCGAATCACAGCAGGGCTGTAGTCAAGGAGCAGAAAATTTGTCACCGAGACCGTCAGCACCAGCGGGTTTACATCCTACTTCGGGAAAGATCCCTTGTCCTGACGCTGCCGCCCATAGTCCTCCAATCGAATTATCCGCAGGTAAGCGAAAGAGAACAATTTCCGATCTTGACGCATTACCACAAAGCGAGAGGGCGGTAACAGAGTAGACAAAACGTCTCAAGCTTGAACATTCTCCACAATTAAACACGATGAAGCAGCTCTGGGAACGCCCTCGCTATGGCATATCCGTCCCGGCAAGCCCCACAGTTGCCGAAATGTTGATGTCACTTAAGGCGGCAGGATAAAAGCACTTTGGAGTTCGATTTGAATATGGTCTCCATAAGGAAGAGCTTATATTCTACTGCGAACCTATTGATATCGGAAGCATGACTTACAACGATACCGTTGAGCTCTGTGAGCCTGCTTTCAAGTTTCTTAATGATTTCTTGAGCAACTCGTTCGGACAATCGGGGTGCCTTGAGGACTATCTCAAGTCAAGTAACTAGGTCACCAAAGAGAAGTAAGAAAGAGGAAACCGGCAATCTATTGCTGATACTCATCTTCAGGATAGAAGTGATCTCAATAAACAAGCCAACTGCTCATTGTTCTGATCCTCATCCTTCTCTCCCCCTTTACAATCATCACTTAAGATCGTCCATTTTTTCTTCTCTTTTCCTTGCGTTTCTTTGAATTGCATTTATTGGCGCTCAATGGGCTTCTATGTCCTTTAAACCTTTCTTGGGGTTTCACGTGCCTTTCTGGGGGCTCAAAGGATCTACTTATTTCCTTCATATGGATTTTTTGGGTCCATTAGACCTCTTTAGGGGTACAGGGCTTAGTAGCCCTTTATTATTTGTTTCCCTTTTAATTTTTAGTAACTTGAATCTTGGAATGAACATAAATCACACTCTGCCACTCTTAAAGTTCAGAAAATCACTACAAGTTAGTATGATGAGAATGCAATTTGATTCATGTGACATGTTATCCAGAGCTGAGAATATTTTTATTGCATGGTATCAAAGTGGTAGCAGACTGTGCCGACTTAAGAGCCAAGAGAAAATGTAAGTCCCGTAGCTCTATCCTAGAGTCCATAAAAAAACCAGAAACGAGATCCCCCTCCACAAATTCTTCCACAATATACGGTGCAAGAGCAATTTTTCCAACGCCAATGGCCGTGGAACTGGAATCTTGGTATGCTTGCGGAGTTATTGGAATGCAACAGCCTCGTTTTCCACCTTCTAGGTGCGATAGAGCGATCGACCTAATACAGCGAAACGAACAATGGCTTGAAGCCATCATCATACGTGACGTGATAAGTCACATTGTATCCTCCAATCTTCCATCGAACGGTAGTGATTCCACTACCAGGCCAATGCTTCTCCGCAAGTTGGCAGGTAATTTGTTCTAGCTCAGATTGTAAAGTCTTTGGAGCCATGCCATAACGTTTCTCTTTTATTCCTTCCGAGCAACGGAATCGAAATGCATGACTCTCTCGAGCTATTATTACCCGATGCAGTTATCAAGTTGGGCGTTGGGAGCATGGCAAGCTGAAACGGACAGCAATTTTGAAAGGAACGAGTCGTGAAATTTTATGGCGAGCCGAGTGCGGCAATTGCATGAAGACAATTAAGGAAGTTGTCCTCATGAAACTAGGAGCGGCCGCATAGAGGAACAATATCACGTGACACTCAGCAAACGCTTTCCAACCCTTCTACTCTCTCTTTTTTCGTAAATTAACGAATCTATCGTCTCATTCTTTTGGGCCTTTTCCGATCTTGGGAAGCATGGAATGATGATGGAGATTACATCTATGTTTTCACCCTTTCAAGGCGTCGCAGAAACGATTCTGGGCAGCGTTTATTTATAAGACGTCCCCTCTAATGTCATTTAGTGGACGTGCAGTGAAGTGAACGACGAGGAAGATTGGTAGTTCCACGATATTTACCATCGAACACCAAACTCACACAATTGGTCAATATTGAACGATTTTACTCTTCCATATCTCATCAAGATACAGTCACAATATTGATAGCACTTCTCATCCCTGCCCTTGAACAAGGGTTGCAGCGCGTCTGAGCAAATCACAACCTCGTAATCATCAAACTCGTGCCCCAGATGAGGAAGGTCGCGCGTCGCACCAGCATCGTGGGTTTCACTTGACCGGATGGTGAAATGTTTTATTCAACTCAAATTTATTGACTTTCTGTCCTTCCATCTAATTTTCTAGAATTGTTTGTGTGTTTATGAGACGAAGAGATTCAACCTTAATAGCACATCCAGCCGTCGTTTTTGCATTGGATTGGACAATTTGATACCGGATATTTTCGCAACCTCGGTATCACGTTCATTTACAGACAGTGTGATTGTTTGTCAAAAACTATCTTCAGCAACTAAATTTGAGATGGCAACATCTCCTACATCCTCTAATTCAATCCCCCCATCAGGACAAACTGCTTCAAGTGGCAGTGCTGGTCAATTCGATATTGACAATACACTATTTGTTAGCAAAGATGTCTCTTTGTCCTTGAGTCCTGAGTCGTTGGTTATCAAAGGTATGTAGGTCTATTTCGTATAGTATCTTCAATATACTCAAGAGTACACAGGCGCCGAGACAGCAAAAAAGCCAGAGAAAGGAGCAAAATCAGCCGGTGCCCGTCGTTCCGTAACACTGGATGCATCTGCCTACTCAGAGCCTGTTGGGGCATCAACTCTGAGGGCAATACCTTTGCGTCAGATCCTTTGGGCTGAAATAACTGAAACTGAACTCATCATAAATTACGCAAAGGAGATTTCAAAGACTGTTCTTCAACCAGCGGTACTGAAGTATATCATTGAAGAAGAGCGAGATCGAGTGAAAGCATGGGTTTCTAGGCTCAAAGATCGCGCATATGGCAAATCCCAGCAACAGAAACGAGTTAAAGTGATAATTAACCCAAAGAGTGGAAAGGGACAATCCGAAAAAATCTATGCAAAAGACGTTGCGCCTATCTTTGATGCTGCTCATCTATCTATCGATGTGACGGTAACTAAAGCCTCAAGGGGGGCCACTGATATTGTGGAAAAACTCGATATAGAAGCTTATGATGTGTTAATCTGTTGTTCTGGAGATGGTCTTCCATTCGAGGTTTTCAATGGTCTTGGCAAACGTAAAGATGCGAAGAGAGCTCTTTCGAAAATGGCTATCGCGCACATACCTTGCGGATCTGGAAATGGATTACATTGTAGTCTTCATGGTAATATAAGATCTACCAGTATCGCAGCTCTTTCAATAGTTAAAGGTATTCGTACTCCTTTAGACCTAATTTCGGTCACACAGGGCGAAGAGAGACATCTATCCTTTCTCTCGCAAGCACTCGGTATCGTGGCTGAGTTTGACCTGGGAACAGAGCATTTGCGGTGGATGGGAGGAACACGTTTTGTCTATGGTTTTGTCATGAAGTCTATCCAAAAGAAAATCTTCCCGTGTGACATCGCAGTCAAGGTGGTTGTGGACGATAAAGAGGATATCAAGCGACGTTATCGTGAAGCTATGGAAATCGGAAGTACTTCTGAAGACTCGTTACGAGAAAATGGTTCTTTAGAGGGCGGCTTACCCGAGTTGAAATATGGAAATTCTAGCGATCCATTACCTCAAGGATGGGAAGTCGAACAACATGATAATTTGGGAAGTTTCTACTGTGGCAATGTGAGTATTTTCCTCGATAAAAGTAACGTGACTTTCGAAGTGAGCTAATTGATGCTTTTTAGATGTCTTGGATGGGGGCAGATGTAGATTACTTTCCAGCTGCACTTCCAAATGATGGTTGCATGGATATGGTAACCATTGATTATTCAAATCTTAGTCGACTCCAAGCACTTCAACTTATGCCGGCTGTCGAGAGTGGGAAATTCTTCGGCTTACCATATGTCAATTACCGCAAAGTTGAAGCATACCGCATCACTCCAAAGAACCAGTCAGATGGTTACATATCAATTGATGGAGAGCGAGTACCATTTGGACCATTTCAAGCCGAAGTACATCGGGGATTAGGAACGGTCCTTTCAGTATCAGGATATAGATATGAAACTCCTGGACCTAAATAATGAAGTGAAATACTTGGGGATATTTGAAGGAGGAAGTTGTAATATGACGCTTGGATACTATTTCAACACTATCACTAGTCCATGCTTTTGGCATGTGCGTTTTGTTTACTCTATTTATGGAAGAAGATTGAAGTCTAATAGGTATAAAGTAGTGGATCTTGGCCTTTCGATGACTTCTTTTGGGTGGATCAAACAGTTAGATCATGATTAGAAAACATAGTTGCGTAGTTTTGCATAAAATTATACCAATCGTACCCCGCTAGTTTCCCCACAAACCCTAATTTTCCACCACTGTTGAATCTTCATCCAAGGTAACACGAGGAAGATCAGCCGGCGCTACCCCACATTGATTAGCTGCCGAACTTCCTATATTATGGTCTCCCCGAATCCCCCGAGGTAAAGATTCTTTGCAATGTTGCATCAGATCCATTGTATCTACTTTAAACTGCATGCATACATTACCAATTCATGACGTCGATCTGTATATGGACCTGACTGAGTGTATTGATCTTGTGATGAGCATAATTTTGACATGGGCCGAAGGGGGCCGACGAGTTATACTTTGGACTTTTTGACCAAGTGGAGTCGAATGAAGTAAAGCATGCGCTCCAATCATTGTAGGTCAGCAGCAAAACTAAGATGTAACCTTTATGGCTCGTTATACGGGAAGTCCTGTTCTTGGAAAGAGAAGATAAACTTGTTTACATATATGGCTCAATTGATACGGACTCCACCCAGCTGCATTCGTAGTACTTGAGCCAAAATCTCTATAACATGATGTCCTGCCCCGACAAGATGAGGGATTTTCTATGCAGTCACAGAGTACGACTCTTCTCTTCTGCCCATCATGTACTTCTCAAAAATCCTCCTTCTGATTTCCCCTCTTCTTTTATCCATTACCGCATCTCCAATCGAAGAACGAGCCTCCTGGCCTTACGCCCCCTTTACCACATCAGGTCGATGGATTCTTGATTCAGCCGGCCATAATGTGTCTTATGCTGGTGCCAATTGGCCTGGTGCTGCAGACACCATGATACCTGAAGGTCTTCAATATCAATCAATTGCCAGTATCGTGACAAAGATTAAGAGTCTAGGCATGAATGTCATTCGTCTCACATATGCCATCGAGATGATTGATGATTTTTATGCCAATGGTCAAGTGGATACATCGATTTTGACAAGTTTCACAAAGGCATTGGGAACAACTAATGGCACAGCTGTTTTCAATCAGGTTATCAAGAATAACCCTACTTTTACAAGTAAGACAACTAGGATGCAGGTAGGAATATTCCAATCACTGTAACTTTGAAGATGTTGCTGACCTGATTAATGATTGAAGGTCTTTGATGCTATTGCTGCGGAGTGCTTCAAGCAGCAGATTTATGTGCATCTTGATAATCATGTCTCGAAGGCTATTTGGTGCTGCTCTAATACTGATGGAAACTCTTGGTTTGGAGATACTTACTTCAACGTTGCAAATTGGCAACGAGGTATTGCATACATGGCTACTCGGGTAAGTCATTTCTCTCCCAAGTCACTTCTACCCGATCACATGATTCTATCCCAATCTTTCAATCCTCTCCATTTTTGAGGGTACTCTCAAGCTCATCCCCCTTTTTCCATCCATTACACGATCTGACAAAAACCAGGGTGCATCCTGGGGTAACTTAATGTCCATGGCACTCCGCAACGAACTTCGTGAACCAAAATCCAACGCTTCTCTCGATTCATCCTCATACAACTGGGAAAATTGGTACACCAACGTTGTAGCCGGAATGAACAGTATCCACACCGCTAATCCCAACGTTTTAATCTTCATCTCCGGTCTCAACTTCGATACCGATTTATCAACCATCCCAAACGCTGCTCTCCTTACACCCTCCACCACGCAAAAGTTCCTTAAATCATCTTTCTCATATGCTAACAAGTTGGTTTTGGAACTTCACAATTACGCAAGCAGTACTAGCAGCTGCTCGAGTTTGCAAAGTAGTCTAAGGTCTCAAGGATATAATGCTCTGAATGCTGGAGTCACGAATCAAATGCCAGTGGTGATGACGGAGTGGGGTCATGCCCAGACAGCGGCGGATTATGCAACGGTTTATTCGACTTGTTTGAAGACCTATCTAACTTCCATTAAGGGTGGATGGATGGTTTGGGTCTTGAGTGGAAGCTATTATATTAGGTCTGGAAGTCAAGATTTCGAAGAGACATGGGGTAAGTTTTTCTAAGTTTTCTGTGATTTCATAGTCTGTAGACATGGAGAGGAAGACGAGCATTCTGAATCCTGAGACTAACGAATTTTGTATAGGCCTACTTACCCATGACTGGTCAGCATGGAGAGATCCAACAGATGTGGCGAATGTGATTGTGCCGATGGTCAGTGGAACGAAAATTTATTCGCCGTAGAACAGCTACCATAAGTGGTCCACTATATTAGATATAGTGAAATGAATTTTACCTCACTTTACTTCCTTTCACTTTGCCTCACGTCAACAATGTTTACTTGAATGATTGGATAAAACTTAATAAGGTTTAGCGCGTTCGCCCACAACAAACGAGACTTTTACAAAATCAAAATATTGATCGATCTTACCTTTCAAAAATTACACCACATAACCCAAATGGCGCTGTATGAAAAATAGAAACCACATGGCCCGCCATGTGGGAAATCATGAAAGCAGATGACTTCCAAATAACGTTAGCTATCATCGAAGCAAGTAGGGCTAAATGGACTGCCACCGTCAAGCGCAAAGCCATTTATGCCGACTACCACTTGCAAGTCAAATTGTACTATGTGGAAAAATTGTTGTGGCGCGAGCTCTGTAAGTTATTCATTTTGAATGAGATAATTAATGAGGATGCTGATAACTCTAGTCAGAAGCCATCCTTTCCCTGGAGTCAAGCCCAAGCCAGTTGCAGGTGCACAACCAGCAACAGGCGAGAGCTCGAAGTCCAATGACAAAGGGAAAGACACGAAGAACGCGAACGCCCCTCCTAATCTTACCAAAGAACAGGAGAACTCCGCCAAAGCTAAAGCGATTGCTGATGCTGCTGCCGCCAAGAAAGCTGCTGAAGCTGAAGCCTCCAAAGCGAAAGCAAACGCCGATGCCGCCGCCAAGAAAGCTGTCGAGAAAGCCAAAGCAACTGCCAACGCTGCTGCCGCCAAGAAAGCTGCCGGCAAAGCCAAAGAGACTGCTGATGCTGCTGCCGCCAAGAAAGCTGCCGACAACGCCAAAGCAACCGCCGATGCTGAAGCCGCTAAAGCGAAAGCAAAAGCTGCTGCGGCTTCCCCAGCCAAACCAACTCCACGTTCCGCTCCCTCCAGATTACCAAGACCGCCAATGCTCACTAAACAAGACAACAGCAGTATACCTCTATACACAGTTGGTCCTGTTCATCCCAATTCAACCAAATCATGGCTTATTGGTCCTCGAGGTAGATCTGTGATGGCGGTGGAAAAGAAGTTTCCCAATGTCCGGATTCAATGTGGAACATTTGACCTCCATTTAATGTTCTACGCGGAACCATGGACATTGAAACTCAAAGACGACTAGAAAGTTCGTGACGCGTGTGCGGAGTGTCAAAAATTTCTGGGAGCATACTCCCGGGAGGCCGCTAAGGTACAGCCGAGATCCAAGCCACTGTTTGCCGACGAGTATTTTCCTACTTGGGCAGCTACAGTTGGCTATTCACCTGCTGCAGCCCCCGCTACCAATGCTCCACTTCGTCCAAATGCTACTTCAGGCACGACTTCATCTGCTCCTCCAACTCCACAGGATCTCAAAAAAATCGATGATGCTCTAAAGAGTGACCATATTGGTTCTTGGTCAGAGGAAGTCGAAGCCGAAGAGCTTGACGATGAAGTTAAAGATGATAAAGTAGAAGAAGAATGGGTGATTGATGTACGCATTGCTAGGCAGAAGAAGTTGATCGCTCATCATAAATCAAAGCCAAGATTTCATGGTAAGAGTGATGAAGACATTTGGGAAATCTTGCATGAATATTATGCGTGGGATGAAGAATTCCAAGACTTCGCCGGGTTCTCGGGGGTTGATGGCGGAGATGAAGGCAGAGGTTCGTGGGATTGATTCAATCCCTTGTACGACCTCCCCTCCATCTTTCTCTTCCTCTTCTTCTTCTGCTGCTTCTTCTCTCTCTTCTCTCTTCTCTTTTATATGTTTCGTTCAACTTTGTATCCCAGGCCTTTGTGCTTATATCCCAGGCCTCTGTGCTTGTAAACGCCTTATTCGGGGCTTCAAACCTTTTTCGGGGTTCAGAGTCTAGTCGACTTTCAAAATGTCTTCATGTAACTAGTTTCCTTTGCACTGGGGAGAATTTATATGATATTATATATATCCCATACATATCCCATTTGATTTCCGTGAAATATTCTGACTGCTTGCTGCATCTACCTCCCGATGCGCTCCTACAGATGAGCGCGTAACTCATCTCGTTGCTCCCCCCCCCCTCTCTTCTATGCTTTCCTTGTGCTGCGTGATTCTTTTCCCTCCTCGTTCTCCCTTCACCTCCAATTTGCAGTATGCCATTATCAAAATATTACTCATCCCATCCCATCCCATCCCATCCCAACTCCTTCTATTTTCTACTTGGTCTTCACACTTCCTCCCCTTTCTCCCCCTCACAACCACAACCACAACACCATCAAACCAACCTTCCCAAAGTTCCGTCTGCATCAATACCTCCAAACATCCAGACAATAACTTACACAAATCCCAAATCCCAAATCCCAAACATAAGAACCACAAACCTCCAGACCCCAACTTACCAATCTCACAAAACAACTTCCAGCCCTTACAGCCCCCCAATCCAACTACTTTAGACCATGCTTATCAACCACCTAAGCAACCACCTAATCAACCACCAACACCAACAGCTATGATATTCTTCTAATACCTACTTACAAATTTGTAAAAGAGTCGTCGGGGCGGGGCCAGAGGTGTAAGGTGCGATAGGTGACGAGGGGTTGAGAAGGGCTCAGAGGAGAGGAGGGTCGGGTATCCTTTTAAGTGAGGGACTGGGAAATGAGGCAATGATTCGCTTGTGGTGATTGTGTGAGGTGATTGTGATTATGAAAGGGTAGAGGTAGAGGAGGGGGGTAAGATGGATATCATCTCAAAACCTAGGTCAATTATTTAGCTTCGCATCTTAATCTAGTATACTATACTCATTGTGAACTCATACTGTCCTCCCCTTCCCATAGTACCAACCGCCCCACCCATTCTCCACGGCGGCGATGAATACAACCACTAAACTTTTAACTCCAGGTATCATGATGAGTATGTCAGGGTATCAGATTCACAGCCCAAATCATAAACTTCAACAATAAAGCAATGTGAACCATCAAATAAATTAATCCATGTGCCATTTCATTTCATTCATTGCATGCGTAGTCTAAATACATTTCCCCTGTCGCCAATTTTAGGCATGAACCGCCAATGCGCTATCTTTCCCATCAATAAAAAATATATCCAATTTATGCTTGGTAAGTAGAAGCGGAAACGTTTCCTCCACGTCCAGTCCAGTTGACGTGAATATCCTTTCCGACTGGGTATTTCTCAGAGGCGTGCTCTGGCTTGATCTTGAAGGTGTGGGCACCGAAGTAATCTCTTTGAGCTTGGAGAAGGTTGGCTGGGAGATCCTTGGTACGGTAACCATCGAACCAAGACAAAGCAGTGGAGAAAGCTGGGGTTGGAATACCCATGAGGGCAGACTTGGAAACAACATCTCTCCATCCTGGTTGAGCCTTGTGGATAGCCTTGTTGAAGAAATCACTGAACAACAAGTTCTCCAAGTTATCATCAGCACGGTAGGCAGCTGTGATATCCTTAAGGAAAACGGATCTGATAATGCATCCACCTCTCCACATCAAAGCAATGGATGGCTTGTTAAGCTTCCAGTTGAATTCCTTGGCAGCCTGAAACATTATTAGTATCAAAATATTGTTAAAAATTGGGATCTGATCATACCTCTTGCATAAGCATGAAACCTTGGGCGTATGAAATAATCTTTGAAGCATACAAAGCTTGCTCCAAATCCTCGAGGAATTGCTTCTTGTCACCCTCGAATTTGTTTGATCGTCCAACGTAAGAAAGGACCTTGGAGGCACGAGTACGCTCCTCCTTGATGGATGAAAGACAACGGGAAAGGACGGATTCGGCAATCAAGGTAACTGGCATTCCGAGGTCAAGAGCGTTAATGGCAGTCCACTTTCCGGTACCCTTTTGTCCAGCGGAATCCATAATCTTCTCGAGAAGTGGGGTTCCATCATCATCGTTGAAGTACATAATATCACGGGTAATTTCGATCAAGAATGAATCGAGGACACCCTTGTTCCATTCGGCGAAAACATCACCAATTTCCTTGTCTTGCATACCGAGACCACGCTTCATGATATCATAAGCCTATTAAGGTTAGTCGAGAACTATGGAGATTATGACTAGAGATTTACTTACTTCGCAAATGAGTTGCATGTCACCATACTCAATACCGTTGTGAACCATCTTGACGTAGTGACCAGCACCATCATCACCAACCCATTCACAGCATGCCTCACCGTCAGATTTGGCAGCGATACTCTGGAAAACATCCTTGATGTATGGCCAAGCCTCCTCGTTTCCACCAGGCATCAAAGATGGACCATATCTGGCACCCTCTTCACCACCGGAAACACCGCTACCAACGAAACGGATACCCTTTTGAGCCAAGTATTTTGTTCTGCGGTTGGTATCGGGGAAATGGGAGTTACCACCATCAATGATGATATCACCTTCCTCAATGTGAGGGAGGACGGTCTCGATGAAGTCGTCAACTGGCTTACCAGCCATGACCAAGAGCATAATACGACGGGGCTTCTTCAACTTGGCGCAGAACTCCTCAATTGAGTGTGCACCCTCGATGGATTTGCCTATCAGGATTCACCAGGGTTAGATTTTTGATTCTCATCATCTGCCAAGAGAGTACTAGGAAAATTATCATACCCTTCGCCTCATTCTCGAGGAAACGATCAACCTTTGATGTGGTACGGTTGAAAGCAATAACGTTGAAACCATGGTCAGCAGCGTTAAGGATAATGTTTTGACCCATAACAGCCAAGCCGATGAGGCCGAAATCTCCGCTGCATCATTGTCAGTCAGTGAGTGTATTGAAAGGTGATATTTGTTGGTGTATTTGATTTGAGAAGAAAGATGTTTGATGGCGGGGTATTATTTTTTGCAACGGCAACATGGAGGGGAACATGTCTTTTGTTGAATGTGTGTAAAGAGTGTAAAGAGTGTAAATGAATACTTACGTTGCTTCTGGTGCAGACATCTTGAGATGGTTTTGTAGATGAATTAAACGTTGATTGAATTTATCCTGATGATATTTTCAATGATTGTTGTTGACAAAAGAGTTGAGAATTAATTTGTTGTTCGGAAGAAATGGGGGGAAAGAATGAAGAGGGAGACTAAGATATAAGAGGTAGGAAAGAGACGGATGGGATGGGAGGGGAGGATGGTTAAGTAATGAAAGATGGTTGGTTGGGCCTTCTTCCAAACCACCATTTTTAAAAGGAGGGGCAAAGCAAAGCAACGCAACGCAACGCTCTCTTATTATTCGATTAGTTTAACTTACTTCAGAAGCACCGGCACCGCTATTACTATTTCGTGGGTTTCCTGGTCTCATGTTCCTGTTCATACTCCGCACTCGACCCTCTCGTTCCCAAGATAGATGCTCGGTAGCTAGATGGATGACCTTGGATGACCTTGACCTCTCTCTTCCTTACCTTGCTTGGATGAGATATTCTCCCAAAGTGTCCCAAGAATATAAACGCCGACGAGCTGTTTTCGGAAGAACTTTTTGGAGATTATACGACGGCGAGGAATATTATGATGTAGGACGGAAAATGATTGGATTAATTCTATATAAGATTCTTTCGTGATTTAACTCTTTTGGTCAATTAATTTGATTCGACGACGGTGATTGGTTGAATGAGTTACCCCTCCTTACTAACTCGTCCCTCGTTGATATCTTCGGTGAAGCTGTATCGAGAAGAGAAAAGATGCGTCCGGGGATCCAAATTAATATGGCTTTGTTGAATACCTATGGCTTATGCTTATGCTTATGAGACGTTTGTTTGCTCGGTGACGCCTCATGATTATTCATCCAATTTGATATTGATACCTACCTAGTACCTGCTTGAGAGATTGATAGTAATCACTCGTAGGTATATGTCGACTCGTACTAGCTACTCTACTATGGGAAACCAAAGTATTCTCATTCACACATCATACTTACGACGTGCCCAACTAGTCCGCACCGTGTCATCTTCAGTTTCTGTTACTCTGGTGGTATTTTATCATATTGGAGAGTAATGACCACTCCGGCTCCTCGGTGTCAGGTTGTTGGTCTCGTAACTTGCAAGTGTAAGTTGTCAATCCCCTCCACCCCACTTTTATCTACATACTTTCTTCTGTTCTTGTCATTTCTCCGGCTGCGAGGTTTGTACCACACTCAAGGCACACTCATCTCCAAAGTACAATTTCCATCCAACTCTTCCAACTCAGGTCCTCGTTTATGGAAATTCTGGAAATCTAGACTTCTACATGTTTCCCTTTCTTCTCACCACCAACAGTGATGACGAGCCAAGCGGTTGTTGATTTTTCTTACTACGTATGTCGTAGTTCACCCCACCAAGCTAAAACAACCGGGAAATTCAACTTTCCGATCGGCCCGACACATCACTTTAGAGCCCACGTTTTAAGGCATGACTACTGAGTCAGCTGATGCTCAATATGAGCTGACTAACCACATACATATCACGTGTCGTAAAATAATTGAGATTATGCATTCTCGGCGCCTCATCGTAGACAACAACGTCGGGTCGCATTGCCAGATCATAAATTATCACAACCGTATCAATCAAATACTCGCACATTTCAACGCCACTTAATAACAAATCATAAGATATCCACATCAGAAAAGTTCGCAACAATCACGATAGAGTTCCGCAAGAACTATTCGGTTTCTGTTTAGGATTTTTGGGATAACCAGTGCGTTTTGAAAGCGCAAAGGTACGTCTAAACACTCA